TTTCTGTACTTGACTTCGCTTCTCTTAATAATAAGCCTGCTTTAATGTACCAGATTAAGCGTTTTGAGACGAATGTTAGATGTGCAACTTTAAGCCTCACCTTTTACTTCAAATCTTCTACCATAATTTGCTGAGTCCATGTAAGCAAATTGAAAGGTTCAGATGTTCAAACGTTGCGGAATTACATAGTTTATTTCGTTATTTGGCTAGCGAAAAGCAGAAGTACTGGTCATTAATTTTGTTATAATTGTTTCTTTTTAGCAAATCAGTATGAGGTTGAGGTATGGTAGCATAGTTTATAATCTTACTGCTACATTTATTATTAACATCAGAGGTAATAAATGTGTTCATATTGAGGAAGAACCATGTAATAAACAGTTCACAAATAAAAATGTGGCCATAATAAGTCTATTCATCATGCAGTATGAAATGAATGTTGTGATCTGTGTTCTTTTTTATGCGTTTGTTAAGCAGACGAGGTTTTGGGAGGTAGTACATTACATTTTGGTAGCGAGTGCATTACATTCTTCTATTTGCTTAGGCATTTCATGCTGGTTATTCATACCCTCAAGTAAAATGTTGATACGGTACTGGATGCTGAAGTATTTAGAAATACAATATACCAGTTTTAGTTTACGTAGTTTAACCCTGATTTTATTCTTGATATAAGGAGTCATTATTTTGAAAGACGTTTTGGAGGGAATAGTAGTGTCTAGTGCAGATTTTATGGTGACAATGAATATACGTTATGCTTCAGATCGTTCAAGGCTAGTAAAGAACGTATTCCAGTTGGAGTGCTGAGTTAGAAACTGGGAGCTGTTCCAGTCAGCGTGTTTATAGTCTCCGTATTGAAAACAAGTTATTGTTTTGGACTTGTCGCATTTTGCAAGAAACGGTAGGGTGCAGAGGACTATTTTATGGTCGCTGTAGTGAAACATTCCGCAGAACGCCACAGATATTGTTGCGACATCATCATAAAATGCCGAGTAGGGAATGTTGTAGTTTCTCGTAGGCAGGTGCACATGTTGTTGCTAACCATATTTGTTGGTGATCTCGTGATATCGAAAGGATATCAAGATCCAAACAAACGTTACAGGCGAGACTACCGAGGCAACGTGAGCAATGTCAGGGTCAAGAGATTAGGAAGATAATGGTTTTTGGTACAGATAAACAAAAGATTAAAGCAAAACAAACACTGGTACATTTGGTTACAATAATAAATATTTCCATTTCACCAATCGCGTTCTCTTCATAAAAGTATTCCACTGCATAACTAAGCATGCTTTCAAAGCAAGGTGTACCGGACTGTGTCTGCCAGTTGACTACAGGAAGGTTGAAGTCATCAGGAGAATTTAAGAGAGGCGATCCTGGCAGACGACTCACCAATAGCAATGTCAATCGATCGCTGAGTGTTTGGAGCCCGATATATTTATTGCCTAATCAGTATTTTACTTTCATGGGTGTGTACAAATCAAATCAGTCACTTTACTAACTATAATGTCACGGAAAATTTCAGCTCTGATGTTTCTAGGTACATAGATAAGACAACCATCACTCTTCTTAGGGCCTCAGTCACTGCGACAGAGTTCCTGAGTGTCTGTTAAATGGTGTGACTCAGGGAATAATGTATGTTATAATATATAGTATATATAGTGTATGACTAATGTATATAAGTAGTTGTTACGGTGACCTGACACTTTGGTTATATGCGACTAATAACTGTCGTAATTGGTCCGAGGCGCAAGTGTTTACAGTCTGTCATACGGACTTACTTTATAAAACTGGTCTGTGAGGTACCGAAATTCTGCAGCTCTTTACGAGTTGTACCAGATATGTAGTCAAAATGTATGACTTGCAGATATGTACGGAGTGAGGGAAAATTTTCTTTGGCCCAACCTAGTCAGATTTTTGGGTTGTTATGCTAGTAAGTAAGCGGCCTGTGCCCTGACATGTGATTTACTGAGGAAAACTTAGACTCAGCAATTAATCATAGTGGACCTGAAGTAAATACTGTAAGAGATGTGCGAATGCTTGTGAAAATGTATATTTCAAAGGATAAGGAACTATTGGAAAACTAGCTACTGGCACGTTTTAATTTTTCTTCAAGATTAAGAGTAGTAAATATGTGTGTTTCTTCTGTAAGGTATAGATCGAGAATGTGATGAATAATAAAGTAGAAAAGTTTTTGAATTATAACTGTAATTGTAGACTACCAGATGTTCTAGAAACTTGACCAATTATCTGTGTGGAGAACTCATAGCGCACTGATTAGGGCCTGTAAGTGATGAACAGCAATCTATAAGGTGTATCGAATTGTGCAAGGAAATTTAAGTGACTGCATAAGCAGTGTTTAGAATCACTGAAGGTAATTGTACAAGTTTAAGGGAACTGCAGGTGACGCTTTCCCACTATTTTAAGTTTATCAGGAACTGAAAGCAGATTAGTACCTATTCTTAACCAAAAACGCTGTCTTACAACACAGAACAGATGGTCCCCTGTTACTGCAAAGCGAAATTCGGTGATCCAATATTCGTTTCTTTCTGAAAATCAAGTAAATCGATTCAGTTTCGTAAATGAAGGAACAATATTTCTGTCGTTTCTGTCCGATAAAATTAGAAATTTAAAGCTTTTTCAGAAGATTAACTTATTAAGAACAGATGGTTGACCTTGTTAAGTGTTACAATTTCAAAGGTAGCGTCATCATGTAGTTATGGAAATTTCTACCGAAGATTCCCAGGATAACTCTTCCGAACTATTAAAAGACTTAAGAACATACAGGCCCAAATACCCTTTGCCAGAAGAGTTACGAGATATTCGTACTGAGGAGACCTTTTGTGCATACTGCGGTGTCAGTTATCTTATACTAAATGAGATAAAGTTTCTGGAAGATAAGTCTGAAAATTTGAAAAAAGAATTAGAATTAATAAAGCGAAACCCAGAATTTCATTCTCTGGTTTCTGTTGGCGATTTTAGTTTGCCGTCAAATGACATAAAACAGACGTCTGAAGAGTGAGTTAAATAATATTATTTCGTGAGGTTAAAAAATATTGTTTCTAGGACGAAGTTTATATAAATTGTAAGGCTGCTTTACATCACAGATTTCGCTTCCTGAAAGTTCATGAAATATAGTCCTTACCTCTTTTAGTTGAATGATTACTATTAATGTATGTACATAAATTACAAGTAAAAAACGAACTTCATCTCTATTTCATCGGGTCGAAAAATTTGTCTGAGCATTCTTTATAGGTCAAGATGACCATTAATTTCGGAAAGACTTATTAATCAGTTTTACGATACGGGTTGTCATTGGTAAATACGTCGGATGAATAATGAAGCCACTAACTTCAACCATAATTTAAAAAAGCAGACGTTAGGTTTTGCATATGTTGGCAAGGCTTATTAGGTTCAGCATGGTACGAATATATTCTAGTTTCAGAAATAAGGATACACGGCCGTTCGGCCCGTGTTATTCATAGCACACGTTTTTCCAGTGAAGATGTAGCTCCATGAAAGTGTTCACAAAACCACGCGGTATTCATACTTAAAAGATTCTTGCTTCGTCGACAATAACAAATTTTATAACTGTTTCTTGCGCTACAGTAGTCTCCGAGTTTGTTTGTCGACCGCTGGATGGCAGTGTGACAGCCTACATGTAGACCTTGGGGGGAATGGGGTTGTTACAGACTCGAATGTGGCTTTAAATTTATTCTATTCATCTTCGACCGACCAGTCCGTTGAGATAACACAGTCTCTAATTTCCAGGATGTTAACTCTCTAAATACTGGGACAGGGAGGAGTAAATATATTATTTACATTATATCTGAGACCTAACATACGTACTACGTGGTCGCTGGTGGTGTAGGTACTGGATGTCGATGATATCATCACTGCAGTGTGTAAAAACAAAGTCTAGTAGTGGTGATTCATGTTACAAGTTGATTTGTGTCGGTCTCACGATGCACTTCAAATGTGCCCACGGGATAAGATGTGACAGCAAGCTGACGTCGAAACACCCATCTGAAGTTGTAAGCTCTGTCCATTTGGTGTGTAGCATGTTGAAATCTCCAGAAATTAGACGACATTCAACCCTAAACCAAGTACATAAATCTTCAGCGAGACAACATGAACTTAGGTATATCTTTTCTACGGTCACTAACCTGTGTCTAGAGTACTTGATGTAATAAGTAACCTCACATGTACCATTATCATACGCTCCTGCTCGGTCTATTTATTTTTGATGAACTAAACGCAATTAAGAAGTTTTATAAAAGTTCTAAATCATTTGTTTTACAAAATCTAATTTCGTAAATGTGAAATCGCCACATAAATAATGTGATCACTGATAGGAACCATTATGTTCACTTAGATTCTAAATTGAAACATAATATATCAGCTACCGGTTTTGTTGTTAGATGTTGTTTATAAATTTGTTTTAAAATATAGTAACACATGCAGTTCTTTTGCGAGGGGAAGATACCGGCAACTCAGAACGTAAAGAATAGGTTCAGAATAAAGATTGGCGCTTACATTATCGTTACTTCGACAACAACGCTTGTTCAGTTTATCTCTCATATGGTAAAAAAGTCGTTAATTATCGACGTAGTACACTTTAGCTAGGTATTTTTAAATGATTTTGGACGACAGAAATTGTGATGCTAAAGCAACTTTTAAATCAGAGAGACGATGATGTAGTCTAACTTCTTATACTATTGCGGCAATCCTTTTTAAATGGTACGCTTCGGAGAATCTTTTTAATCTCACAATCAATAACAAAGGACACTTTAATAATCTAGTGAAATTATTTACTTGACAGTACAAAAACGTAGACAGACGTGTAATGCATAAGAAGGAGGCGGCGAATTACATGGGTAGTGGCAAGAGACGGCAACTACTTGAAATCGTCAAAGTTAACAAGGTCAATATCGTTATATAACGTCTACTGAGTCATTTACCTTGAGGGATTATCTACTACTACAGAACCATGACTCAGAACACTGCACAGTTTAAAGTGTCTTTACCAGAATGCAAGTACGGCTCTTTCTTTACCAAGTATTCCCCTGAAAATTTAAATAGTTCCATTTAAATCTATTCATTTTGCAAAGAAGTTTAAAGGCTACTAGATTGTAAAGTGATGTTCTCATCTGAGGTTTCCAGTGATTATGTCTGTCATTTAGGCTTTCAAGAAATTTCTATATGCCTAGAAATATGATTGAAATATATTTTATAGTCTCGGAGCCAAAAATAAGCATTTTTTTAACTGATATAATCAGAACATTATTATTCGTATTATCATTGTCAGTAAAAGTTTAGCTGAAAAAAATAGTAGAAAGACTTATGAATAAGGGTTTTCATAAGCTTTGTAACACTTCACATTGTTTTCTCATTTTTTTTCGGTGATGCTTTATTCTTGTAATGGTGAAACTGTGAAATATTTAACTATCAACAGAGAAGATACCTGAAATGCAACTGAAAATGTAAATAATTTGTAATTGTCAAACAAAGATGTACGAATTCCTAGGAAATTTCCGTTTTCGATTCAAAAATCTTGTTTTATTAAGTGGTTACATCCTAAAATAAATGTTCATTCAACTTGAAGTAGTATTTGAAAATAAGACAATACAAGTCTAATAATGAATGGATCATATTTGACATGGTCATAAGATTTGAGTATATCAGTTTGAAATAATGAAAAGGCAGTGAATATAAATTGAGACCAAACATTATTGATTTGATTGTTCTATGGTACAAACATGAAAAATTATTTTTATAAATAGTCATATAAAATTGTGAATTGTAGTCGACTAAAATGAATTTCACTTACATTTTCCCGTAGTTCTTCATCATTTTTGTTGAGATATAATGTACTTTGATGTAAAACTGTAATAACTGTTACTTACTTAACGCCTGTTACCCCCAATGAAGTATAGGCCGCCGACCAGCATTCTTCAGTCTATTCTGTCCTGTACTTTCCTTTCTAATTCTGTCCGATTGTTGTTCATTTATCTCATGTCAGTCTCCAATTCTCGATGTAATGTAATCCTTGGTATCTCTCTTTTCCTTTGGCCTTGAGGGTTCCAAGTGAGGGCTTATTTTGTAGCGTAGTTGGGTGCTATCCTCAATATGTATCCTATCCACTTCCAGCCGTTCTTCCTGATTTCGTCTTCCAGTGGAATCTAGTTTGTTCTATCCCACAGTACATTGTTACTGATAATCATTATTACGGAAAGTTAAATAATCTAAGATCTGAAATCAATTCATAAGTTCATTTACTAATGATTTGACTAATACGAGGTTAAGGCTTTAGTTAAGTATTTCCACTAGTTACTTAGCTTTGTATGTTAAGAAATGCTTATAAAATAGTATATTTTTATTAATTTATTGATTTTCGTCCCTTATCTGAAGTAACTGAGTACTAGTTCTGTTTCATTTCGTAATTTTCGATTGATATTTTGTATTAAATTTAATAACTTGATCTAAAATGCAACTCAATCAAATCACATTGATTAACACAGTCTAGTGACACATCGACAACATGAGTAAAAAACATCTACGTTTAGAAATTCAAAATTCTATCATATCATGTACGTTCGTTGTAGTGCAATTCGAATAAATAAAATTACTTTTGCTACAGTCAGCTACAATGTAGAATTTTGTTCGTACGTACATCAATTCAAGTTTTCATAACCGATTAACACAGAGACACAATTGTCAATTCAAATCCAATTGCGGTAGAGATAGTAGAAGTATTAGCAATAATCAGAGAGATTAGGATTCGAAGATATAATTCAAGAAGTATAATTCAGTGAGAAAAATTTAGAAAGAGACAGATATTAGAATTTGAGAACACAAAGAATGGATGTACCTGCATCACTGAAAACGATTTTGAGCCATTTCATTCAAAGTCTCTAACAATTGGTTAATATTGTTTTGCGAATCTCAACCAGGTAGTCTACACCAACTAACATCACTCACTTTACTTGTCAGTGACTTCATGGGTTGATACCATGTTTTGATCTGGTCTCCTCTAGCTTTCTTCCAGCCTACACTCTAGATTAAAAAACATCGTTTACTAGTCCTTAAAAACATGTCCGGTCGATATTTGAAGTGAACTTCTTGGATTTTTAACTAAATGTTGATGTTTTGATAATTTTGGTGGTCTGATTCGGTTGATTAATTATTTTTTCGATGACGAAAAACCAAAAACAATCATGGCACAAATCAATGAAGTCACTGACAAGTGGAATGAGTCATGTTAGTAGATGCAGACTACCTGGTTGGGGTGCACGAGACGAAAGTCACCAATGATTAAAGACCTTGAATGACATGGCTCAGAATCGTTTGTGATGGCGCAAGTGCATTCATTCATGTTGTTCTCTCTAATTCTTACCTTCTGAATTCCTCATCATCTCCATCTTTCTCTTTCTAAATTTATCTCACTGAATTATACTTCTCGAATCATATCTTCGCTCTCTAATCTTCTCCGTTACTGCTAATAATTCTACTATCGCTATCACTCTTGGATTTGAACTGACATTTGCATCTCTGTGCTAATGTGGTATGACAACCTGAACTGATGTACTTACGTACGAAGTTCTACGTTGCAACTGACTGCCTGTCTCTTTTTCTATGACACTTTCCTACATAATCCATTTGATAATCCTTATTTCTATTATTATTATTATTATTATCACTGCAGTATCAAACGATTATTAAGTGAAAAAAGTGAAATTATTCAACAGTTAGATGATGCAAAAACAAAATTGATATGTTACGAAGCTACTGAGAAACAATTTGTCAAAGAAATTGCCAGAAAACAGTAAGTCAATTTGATGAATGATCATATCAAATAATTCAATTGTTTTGTTATTTGACAAGTAACCATCTATGATGTATAGTGCACACTAATAATATATGTAGAGCCCAGATCACTTGTCCCCAGCTTCTGGACAAACTAACAAATAAATAATTCATTATTTTGACCTCGTCAGTTATTCGCCTATGACTTTGGTTGTTTTTACTTGAGTACCGTATGTGCATTAGTTGCTACGCTTAGCATATGTCAAGTTTATTTTTGTCTGATAATAAATACTTAGTCATGTTACACATTTTTTGAAACCATGAATCGATCAATGTTTGACCACCATTAGAAACCTGGAAGCACTGAAAGACGGCCGTTTCGTCCTGGTATGGGACTCTTCAGCGGTGCGCATCCACGACTCCTGCACCCCTCAGGATTCGAACCCAGGACCTTCGGTATTGTGTGCGAACGCCTAACTATTGGACCACTGAGCCGGTATCTAACGGTGTTAATGTCTAACTTGATCAATTCACGGTAATGTCTCATCATATTGAGTTGGCCAACTCGCCTTCTCCACTTCACTTCGCTTCACATCGCTTTTACGCTTCTGTCTGCTTACGCGAATGTATGGGATGAATTCATCCAAAATAAACCATGTTAGATTTTTAATCGCCGCCGTCACACAAACGGGGTTCGACTAAGAATAATATACAGAAATTAAACAAAAGATTTACTTTTTAGAATACTCAACTGTTCCGGGAGGCTAAAAGTGTTTGAATATTTAGATAAACTATAAAATGTCGAGATCTCTTTAAACTCTCTTCATTAAAATGTGTTTCTTAATGATTGAGTATTGACTGGATATATTTCTAGGGATTGTAAATTTAATCACTCAAAATGCTTCCAATTATCGCTTGTAACAGACGGTAGTTACAAGCTAAATAATTGCTTGCTAGTTAGTAAATTCTCTGGAACATGGTATGAAATTAAATTACTATTTACTAAATAATACGATCAACAACTAATATATTTATTGAGTATTTTCTCACCTTTGACTTATTTGACCACTGAGGATATCAAATCTGTACTAGAACCTACGGAAGTTGATCGAACGATCTGACAGTTATTGAAAGGTTGTGCTGTTGTTATGAAGTTTGAAGCACTTCATAAAAAGTGCAAAATAAACAGTTTTCTTTAGATAGTTTAGTTTCTCCTTCCACTGTTAATTCTTGCTATGGTCTCAGTCAGTCACTTACAACGTAGAACTTCGTACATGAGTATATAAGTTCAGGTTGCCATACCACATCAACACAGAGACGCAGCTGTCACTTCAAATCCCGTAGTAGTAGAGGTATTAGAAGTATAAGCAGTAATTGGAGAGATAAGGGTTCGATTATATGATATGAGAAGTATAATTCAGTAAGATAAATTTAGAAGGAGAAAGATAGAGATAATGAGGAATTCAGGAGGTTAGAATTTGAGAGAACACAATCAATGAATGCACCTGTGCCACTGCAAACGATTTTGAGCCATGTCATTCAGGGTCTTTATCCATCGATGACTTTTGTCTCGCGGACCCCAACCATGCTATGGTCTATAAATTGGTGAAAGATATTTATGTAATTGTTATCATGCTGCTACGTAGCTATTCAAATCCTACCGACATCCGAATTCAAATATTCCAATACGACCCAAATACTATTCCCAAATCTCCTATATATCAGAACGGAACACCGTCGGATGGAGTTGTTTATTGGGTCGAGTACAGAAGAGAGGTAGACAGGAAGCAACGGAATCATGAAGTTTTACAGATAGTGCGTATTTATACATTTAGGTCGAGTAGGAAAGAGCATCAGACTCTGTGGCATCGACAGTTTAGGACGACCAATAGGAAAGAAATTTGATGCATCGACAGTCCGGATGACCAATCAGACACAACATTGAAGTATTTGACTTTGACAGTTAAAACAACCACAATTTTGACCATTAGGATTATACTTCCAAAAATAGTACTCTTAGGATATTTGGTGAATATCCTGATAGTAATTGAATTCTATCCAATAAGATACACCCTTAAATCATTCATTCATTCGAAAAGATTGTTGATCTGCAGAAAAAATTATTCGTAGTACAATAGAACTTCAAGACATGTGTTACATGCAATAGCGATTAACGTTTTGAGAATCAAATTTTTTATGGCAATCTTCATTCAATAAATTATCTTTCATTAATAACATTTCTGAAAAAAATATCAAAATGAAACTTTGAACATTCTGCTTCAACTAAATAGCCTAAAATTTTGAATTAAGTATTTATTCTGAATAATGAACAGTGTTACCTATCTTTCATATTGTAGATAATATATTCAGAGGGTGTGTTTACGATTATTATTGGTGTGATTACAGTTTACATATGGTTTATTTAGTGATTGCGGAAAGTAATATACTACAGTTTCTATCTATTCGACTGTATATTGAACCTTCACGAGTAGAACTATAAAACTTAATTTAAGTATCTATTTTGAAGTTGTTTATGAAATATTGATTTTCAAGACAAATATAACTAAATGAATGTTAACTGACTGCACTGTGATTATTAACTTGAGTTCCGGTATTCCTATTGGGGACATTAGATCCCCAGAACTCACTTTACTAAGGCCCTAATTTTGTGATTTTATTCCGAAAGTTTGAATATCCACGTTTTCGCGCCATTTGACCTTCAGATCACATTTCCCCCTTCGGGAAATCTTTGACTGTCATTGGTTGGTGGATTATTTTAGTACGCTGTTTTTGTGGCTCTCCCAAGGACGTTTCTATCATGTATAAATAAGCTTGATTTGTATGCTTGTCAACCTCATATTTTCTGGGTGCTTATAGCATACACTTTCTACGCCTTATCAAGATTTCTTGATATAGTTAGCCGTGGCGGGGACAAACGGATTAGAATAGCCTATTGTATCACTGAGACATTGCTTTTGTGCCGTTTACTGAGTTATCTGAACTCGTAATAGCATTCGAGCATATCAAATCCTTTACGTATTCCTGTACATATATACGTATTCTCAATGTTTAGTCTTTCTTACGATCACTGTTATGCACCTATTTCGATTGATTCGAGATTCATTTCTCGTATACTTATCTCACCGTGTTGATGGTGGTGGTACAGTAATGTTAGGATATTCATTGAATATCCTAAGAGAATTATTGGTCAATTCCTATTGGTTAATTCCTACTGGTCAATTTTATGGTCGTCCTAGATATCATTGTCACATGCCCCGATGTTGTTTCTTATTGGTTGTCCTGGTTATCAATGTCACTTCAAATGTTGCTTCTAATTGGTCGTCTTAACTGTCAATGTCACAGACTTCGATGCTGTTTCCTATTCGACCAAAATGTATAAATACGCATTATCTGTAACGTTTTATGACCAGGACCAGGACCCGGTCCCGGATCCCTAGTCCGGGATCCTGATTCTCTTCTGAACTCGGACCTCGTACTTTCTGAATGCTTGTAGAATACAGGTTCTACTTCATATCAAGTCTTCTTATTTTTACTCAATATGGGGGTTGGGATAATCGGATTTGAATAGCATGTCGTGTCACTGGATCCTCGATCCTCGCTCTTGTTTTCCGACTAGGTAAACTCGTAATATTTCAAGCATATCAAAATGACATGTTTACATGCAGGCGTAACAAGTAATTTTGGCCGACACAAATATATGTGTGTTAGGATCCACACTGATCATGATTTCATCCTGTTTAATTTTAATAATCTATTCTGTTTTTTTCTGCACGATCTATTATCAGATTGAGTTTGTTTATTGAAAGTACCTTTGTTGTTTTGTTTTGTTAAAAAAATATAGAGCTGAAGTTTCGTATACTCAAGAACAATTGATTGAACTGTTGGATTATTCAAAGCGGATACGAAATAAATTAAACGAGAAGCTATCCATTGGCAATCTACTCCGTCCAATATTTGATAAAATTAATAATTTAAGAGATCATATTTCTACATTGAATCAATTATGTAAGTCATCCATCGTGTGTTGTGTTGTTTTATCTAATATAAAATAATATATATAGGTTGACTATTTAAAATCTATGACCTTGAACGATAAATTAATGAACTGTAAACCTGATTTCAGCTATTTCATTAGATACCATAGTTAAAACAACTATCAGTAGTTTGAAAACTTGAATTAAAACTAGAACCGAGATTAAAAATTGAGTATTAGATACGAATGGCAAATTAATTGATGAGTTATTGAATTTTCATCAACTAAAGTAGTTTGGACATGTGTTTCGTATGCCCAACCACAATGGCTACCTCCACAGCTGAACCTGTCTAGTGAAGAAAAAAGATAGAGGCGACCAAATCAAGACAAACCATCAGTCTGTGGAGTCACTGACAATGGGGCTAAGGCATATTAATAGATGCGAACTGCCTGGTTGGTTTCGCGCAATAATCCTAACCAGTGGTTAAAGAATTCAAACTAAGATAGAAATGTTTTGAAATGGTGTGCGTGCATCTATTGTTTGTCTTCCTCCGAATTCCAAGTTTCTAAATTTCTTATAACTTTCTATTATTTTCGCTGTCTATATTTTCTTGAATCTTATCTTCGATCCGTGTCGACTACCTGGTTGTGGTCCGCGAGACGAAAGTCACCGATGATCATAGAACTTAAAGGACATGGCTCAAAATCGTTTGCAATGGCGCAAGTGCATGCATTCTTTGTGTTTTCTCAAATCCTAATCTTCCGGATTTGTCAACACCTCTACCTTTGCCTTTCTAAACTTATCTCACTGAATTATATTTCGTAAATATTTTCTTCAAATCCTAATTTTCTCTGTTATTTCTAATACTTCTACTATCTCTACCTTTATAGGATTTGGATTGACAATTGCGTCTCTGTGCTGATGTGGTATGGCAGCCTGAACTGATGTACATGCCTACGAAGTTCTACTTCGCAGCTGACTGACTGACTGACTAACCTATTGTATTAATAACATATATATATATATCTATTTCAGGTAACAATTCATTTACACAATGGAATAATAAATATAACCAGATAACTGCTAAACTTGAATCAATCACATTGGAAAAAGATTCCACAATTAACAAATTCAATGAATTAGAGTTAAAATATAAAGAAGAACGTAATAATTGGTCAGAAAAACAAGGTGCACAATTAGCTGATATATTAGGTAACATTTTTTTTAAAAAAAAAATAGTAACTCATTAACTCATAATTATTCGTAATAATTTTCAATTTTACTGTTGAATAATCAGATAACTATATGTATTATCATATGAACAGGTATTGCAATCTGGAGTTTACTGTTAGTAACAGAGTAACAGATTAATTGATTGGTATTCTTTGCTTAAATCTTTGCATTGTTGTTTGAGATTGCAGTTGAGCATCAGCCTCTAAATGAATCCCACAGTAAATATCAATCCCAGGATTCAGGTACATCTATATGACGAGTCCCGAGTGAACGAAACACGCGTCTTGAATTCACCTACTAGCCACCATCCATCTCTGCTGATAATCGAGTAATAGAGTGATGTAATTACGTTTAAATCTAGTTTGTCGAGAAAATACTTGTTGATAGGCATTTTAAATTAACGTAATAGCTAAGATTAGGACGTTGAGAGCATAAATAAATTTATCAGTACTAGTTGGTTGTCTGGTGTCATATTCTAATTGTTATAACTTCAATCTCATAAATTTCGATTCGGTAATCATCCTATGCAAACATCTGTTTCGAAGACAAACAATATTAAAATCTTACCTGACATTTATTTAGTGAATTCTTAAAGATCTAACTAGTTTGACGATATATTTAGTGAATAGATATCGTCTTAACATTGTTCTCTTCGATGATTCTTATCCGCTAACCTTTTCTTGCATGAAAATCAACTTGTCAAAGTCTTACAGCTTATATATATGCTGATCGTGGATGCTAAAGCTTTTAACAGTTCATCTTTCAGTGTGAAAGAGAATTAATTTCCTTCCATTGTGATTTTCGAAAATGTCATACTTATGGGTTATATTTGTTAGTTAGAAATTAGGTCAGTTCATTAGATCCGAATGAATGATTAACAAGTTCGCTATTATTTATACTACATGCTTCAGATTTACTCTATTCGATTCAAATTGTATGTATGACACTAAAGTTTAGTATGTGTGAATATTATTTTACAAGTGTTGTAACGCTTGCTTAAGCGATTCCCAGCTAATTCCTATTGTTTAGTATTCTCTGACGACATAATACACTGGAAAAGTTACAAAGAATCAAAAACACGGTGGAATAGGAAAAGATTATATTCCAAATAGCAAGGTTAAATGGAAATACGAAGCCGAAGGCTTCTGGATTGTAATTCACGCGATCGACTTGATTAGATTTAGCCAATCAGCGTACAGCTAACAGCACGAGAATTTTCTATCCTGTTCTTCAAGAATCGATCAGGCGCTGATTGGATAGGAAATTAGCCAATCAGCGAGCAGCAATGTAGTCATCCTTTAATTCCACCCTATGTTCGGTCTGAGATAATAATTATTGTGTGTTCTATTTTCTAATTACTTAACAATCACACTCCTTATTAAGTGATTTATTCTTAAAAATATATGAAAACATGAATATGAAAACCCAACAGCACATGACAAGTTGTTGAGAATTTAGGAATAAAATTAAATATTTGATTCTCTCTGTAGTTCACTTGCGATCTGTCTGTATTAGTGTGTTGAAATGCTCTCAACTGCGGTAGAGAACTAGAGTGAGTACTTACAAAGCAAACGTTTTTGGTTTTTCAGTATTGATCAATCAGTTGTAAACGTAGAACCAGGAACATATTTACATCGGTGGTAGTCAGTTCGCCATATTTTATACACTTTAAAATATTAATTACCTATTTATCTGATTTATACGAAATGTCAAATATCACTTATACCAGTCCCGACCGTAGCTGCTACCTTGACGTGGTGGTCGGGCTTGACTATCGTGATGACTCAGCCGAGCTATACTGGCTGGAACATATGTTCCTGAAGGTTCTACTATGCCACGCAGGTCGATTGGAGAACGATGGGGCTAAAAGCAGCTACTCAAGATCTGAGGGCAAAGTCTTACTACTGACTGCAGACGGGTGTGACAGCAGTAAGGTGTTTCCCTCGGACAACCAGCATCTGCACCGATGCTGCCTTCTGACAAGGAAGGAAGGGTTAGAAAAGTTCGACCCTAAAAATGTCACACTTCACCCTACCTCACGGATTTCCATCATATCTTCGCTCCCTAATCTTCTCCGTTACTGCTAATACTTCTATTATTGCTATCACTCTTGGATTTGAACTGACAGTTGCGTCTCTTTGCTGATGGGGCATGGCAATCTAATCGTTACCCCTTGTTCACCAATCAACGAAGTACTCATTAATTCATTTGAAAAACTTCCTGGTTATTTTTGCAAACACCATAGTTTTAAACTTTTTCTTAAACGTAAAAAACACTTTTGTTGAGTATTTTAACGAATTAAATCAAAAAGTAACAATTACAAGACTTTTCATAAATTTTGTTCAGCTTTCTTTTGAAAATCAACATTGGAATTGTTCATAAATGTATTTTTTTCCAAGAAATTACTGTGCCATGAAACATTTTTTAAATCAACTCTAGTGGAATTTTTCCTGTCTGCATGTATTGTTTTAATCATATCTTATGCAAAAAAAAAGATGTTCTACTAAAGAACTGTCAAGAATAATTTGAAATTTCTATTTTTATTCAACTAATTACTATTCATGAATATTTTCAAATATTTCAGTATTAAAAACAAAATTAAATGAAGAAGCTAAACGATTGAATACTGTACATGATGAAAAAAGACAACTAATTTCGAATTTTGAGTAAGCATTTCAAAATAATCTATGTATGTTACATGTTCAATGATAGTTCGTTGAATTCATCAGTTGAACATTGATTCTAACTTGATTAAAATATTTCATGACTATTTTTGTTTTAAACGATGTTAAAATAGAGATTATTTATTAAATTTACTACTGGTATGTGTATGTACATCAAATCTTTTATGAAATTGAACCAATACTTTGTTCTAGGAAAACTTCTGAGTTCTTTGATGTTGGAAGAAAGTTAGGGGCGGCCAAACCAAATTTGGCACAAATCCATGAAGTCACTGATAAGTGGACTGAGTCATGTTAGTAGATGTAGGCTACCTGATTGGGGTCCGCGAGACGAAAGTTACCGATGGTTAGAGAACTTGAATGACATGGCTCAGAATCGTTTGCAATGGCGCAGGTGCATCCACTCTTTGTGTTCTAAGAAATTCTAGGCTTCCGCATTCCTCATAATCTCTACCTTTCTCATTCTAAATTTATCTCACTGAATTGTACTTCTCGAGTCATATCTTCTCTCTCTAATCTTCTCCATTACTGCTAATACTTCTACTATCGCTATCACTCTTGGATTTGAACTGACAGTTACGTCTCTGTGCTGATGGGGTATGGCAACCTGAATTGATGTACTTACGTACGAAGTTCTGTGTTGTATCTGTCTGTCTCTGTCTTTAATGTTTCATAGTCTGTCTATTCTATTCTCAACAGTAGTATATATTGTACTTCATGAATCTTTTTTTTCTAAACAGACAAAGAATAAACATTTTAAAAGAAGAAAATCAATCCTTTGCACATGAAAATAAAAGTTTACAAGAGAAGATATCAAGGTAAGAAATTTTGATAAAATAAAAACGGGGAAAGGTTTTGAGTTTTTTTTGGTTTTTTGATAAAGGATAGAATATTGATTTTCAACAAATCAATACACGTCATATTTTGTTTGGAAAAAATAAACTTCAAATAAAAGTAATTAACAACATTCATAAAATTTGAAGTACCAAGTACATTAGTTAGTTGGTGCGATGAAAGAAGGATTGTATTCAACCAGTGAATCCTTCAATTCACTGTTTGATTTGAGTGTTCGTTCTTCCTAGTCACAGAATATTGATTTGTAGTCATGAGTTTAGCATTTTTTCTGGAGTCATATTTTAAGGTGATCACAATGAACACCTCTTAACTATTCATAGTCTTTTAAAGATGTAATCATAATGTAATGTGCATGTCTGTTTTCAGCATTTACAAAAAATGTATATCGACACTTCGGTGTTGTTTTGACAGGGTTACATATAATGAAATTATACTACATTTTCGAGTTGTAGTAACTCGGTCAGTGACTCTAGAGTCACTCTAAAATCATCCATGTCTAAAATTTTATGAAACTTAAACATTTTAAGCTATAAATAAATGTTTCCTTTATAAACACTTTCATCAATTGAGTGCTAGGTGACATTATTTACTTTTCCGAATTTTGCATAGAATGACTAAAAGTTTTTATCATGAGTTGGTGGATGATTGTGGTGGAGTTTCGTTCTTGTGAGCTGGATTTTTTGGTTGTGAAGCTTTCATTGTTCTCCTTCTGAACAACATCATCAGCACAAACTTCAGATAGCAAAAGTGAAGTATTCGAATTTCTCCACGAATGATCTCGATTAACTGAACAAAGTTTGTTCAAGAGAGTGAAAAAAATACTGCAGCACACATGAAGCATAAAAAAACGAAGAAAATTATCTGATTACTATCTTCCAAAAGAATGGCTATCCACGAAACTTCATCAAAAATAATCGACTCAAACTATCAACAGAAGCGAAAACAAGTACAGAAACCAATAACCAAATCATCCTATCATACATAAAAGACATATCGGAGCATACAGCATAACTACTGAGACCATTTGGAATAGTTGTGGCACACAAACCAACAGAATCACTTCAATCAATCCTATGTAGACCAAACAACAAAACGGCAGAAGAAGAAGATTGTGAAAAACACTACATAGAACAAAGTAGACGGCCTCTTGAGCTTCGTTAACGTGAACACTAATTAGCAGTCAAACGCCACGACAACTCTTCGCTTATATCAATACATACTGACAATTATGGACGCACATTCGATTGGAACAATGTGGAAATACTGGGTAGGGGGAGGAAAAGAATACTAGAGAATTTTTAGAAGCTTGGCACTCACGTCAGTCTGCAATCAACAAACACATCGACGTTGACCCGATTTATCAACCAATCAGAAAAATCATAGGTGACAAAGGATCAAGAAACAGATCAAAGGTGGATATAATCAAAATGAATGTGCGAACAACGAATGGTTTAAGATCAATAGCAACCAACAGAGATCGAGGTTAACAGAACAAGTTACTGGTCAAACGCGGGGAAATTCGAAAACTTCACTGCTTGTAGTGGTGTTTCGTTCTCTGAGCTGGAGAACGAATCACCACCACAATCATACATCTGAGCTACAAATTTTCTCCACTTCACTTCTAACTGAAATTTGTTCTGATAATGTTATGTAGAAGGAGAACAATGAAAGCTCCACAACCAAAACATCCAGCTCAAGGAACGAAACTCCACCACAGTTTTTATCATGGTTCGGGTTGACCCTTTAGTATGATAAGATTACATTGAAACTATTTATTTGGTTGTAAAAAATTTTTGGTTAAAATTTGTCACCAATATTAGCATCTTTTGCCAAAACTTCTAAAATGTCAAGGTGGCCAAGTATTCAGTAAATGGCATCTGACCTTCAAATTAAGGTTAATTAAATGTGTCTTGTCTACTGTTTCTCAGCCACGGCTCAAGAGTAGAAAACAAGAACTCCGAGAATTTCCTCACTAAGCTAGTCCCTAGTGAGCACTGTTACGATATTTTCTGGCAGAGTTTTGGAGGTTTTGTGTTTTTACACATTTGAAATCATCAATTAGTCATTGTTAGACCACCATTAGAAACCTGGAAGCACTTGACGGCCGTTTCGTCCTGGTATGGTGCTTATCAGCAGCCCTTTTGTTAACTTATTTAACAGACTGAATCGTTCGTGTAGCAATAACTTATTTGTACCATTATGCATTTATTATTGTCGCGTTTGTGTAAGCAGGTATGACTGAACATTGCTAATCGCCTATATGCATATTCATTCCATTCGCTTTAATGTTAGCCTCTTGAATAATTCGATGGCTCACTCATTTTCCTAAGAATATATATCTGTGCATTTTAATCCTATTCACATTCGCTCACTCTCTCGCTTGTTCTTCAGCATTCGCATATCATGTTCGTTCCGTATGCCTGTGGTTTTGTGATCTGTGTGTGATGCGACAGTAAAAGTAACCAACGCTTTAAATTCCTCTTCTGATTTATACACCGTCGAGCCTTATCTAGTAACGATTATCAGGACGAGTATTATACGAAGTCCAACTGCTGAAAACCACTGATCAAATTAGGTCACCATATAAACAAAAGCCATTATTAGATAAAATTAAAACAAACAGTCATTCAAATAATTTTCAATTTTTTTTGTTTATTCGAAGCATACTACTATTTGTCAACTATTGGAATAGTAATCTATTCTATTTTTTTTTTCTGATTGATAATTTTTTCTTTGAATTACAGTTTAACTGAACAATTAACTAATCAATTAAAAAAATATGATCTTTGTGAAAAAAATTCCAAAGAAAAAGAACAATGTTTACAAATTGAGATAAACAATATTTCTGACGAATTAATTGATGTCAAAAGTAATTTGTTTGTTTTTTAGATTATTCGGTAAAGTGTTATTTATCTGTTTTAATTTGAGTTATAAATGATTGTGATTAGTGGAGTTTGAAGTGATAACACTTGGTTGATTGAACATTGAATATTTCAAATATTGATTCAGTGACTGTATGAGAAAAGTTGACTATATAAAGATATTCTTCATTATTGAGTAACAGAGATTGTTGTTTTACATTAAAATCGTGAATCAATCATTGTTAGACCATTATTCGAAAGTCTTGGATGCACACTGCCGATAAGTCCTATAATGGGACGAAACAGCCGTCTCGCAGTGCTTCCAGGTTTCTAATGGTGGTCTAACAATGATTGATGCACTTATGATTTTGTTAGGATATTCATCGAATATCCTAACAGAATTATTGGTCAATTCGTATTGGTTAATTCTTACTGGTCAATATTATGGTCGTCTTAACTGTCAATGTCAAAGACTTCAATGTTGTTTCCCATTGGTCGTCCTAACTGTCAATGTCACAGAGTTGATTGTTGGTTCCTGTTTGACCTAACTGTAAAAATACGCATTATCTGTAACGTTTTATGACCCAGACCCGAATCCCTAGTCCGGGATCCTCATTCTGTTATGGACTCGGACCTCGTACTTTCTGGATGCTTGTAGAATACAGGTTCTACTTCATATCAAGTCTTCTTCTTTTACTCAATATGGGGGTTTGAGACAATCGGATTAGAGTAGGCTGTTGTGTCGCCGGATCCTCGACCTCGTTTACTGACTAAGGTAAACTCGTAATGAGTCAAACATATCAAACTGGCATGTTTAAGTGAATAGTTTACTAGAAGTGGTTCTTTATCTTTCAAAATTCAGATTAAAAGTATTTTGATTAGGGTCTTATACTATGTTGATTGTAATGATGTTGATAATGAAAGGTTAGGTATTTTTTCTTATATTTCATCTACACGTTGGTTCGATAGCCGTTATTACGTTAATTCTAAATAGAATATGATCTTTACAGGTCGGAACTAAGTTGTTGAAACAAGCGTATTTTGAATGTGTAAATCAAACGATAAGACTAGTATTGCTGCTTACTTGCACCTGTTACTCCCAATGGAGCCAAGGCTGCCGCCCAGCATTCGCCAATCTACTCTCTGCTGAGCCTTCCTTAACAGTTCTACCCAATTGCCGTTAGTTATATTTATGACTGCTTCCAACTCTCGGCACAATGTGTTCTTTTATGTTCCCCTTCTCCCTCGGCCTTGAGGATTTCATGTGAAGGCTTGTCTTGTGACGCAGTTGAATGCTTTCCCCAAACTTTGTCCTATCCATACCTCCAGCACTTCTTCCTGATTTCTTCCTCAGCTGGAATCTGGTTTGTTCTCTCTAGTAGCAGGTAGCTATTTCTACTAAGTATGTGTTACACTTAATTTTCTTAACATACATAATAGATTTAATTCAACATTATCTATAATGAATATGTACGGAATTGTTTTCTTAATTTTAAATTTGTATTATTCTAATAGTACTTCAAATTATTTGTTTGAATTTTATTTAGAACTCAATGAACAATTAAGTGCAGCATTGGAAATTGGTAAGAAGGAAATATTTGAATTAAAGACTAGCAAGTAGGTCACTCTATTTTTTTTCTTAAAAATGATTCTTAATTTTTTGACGATTAGTTATCATTATTTTTTATTGTAGTGTTGAGCAGATTATTAAATTTTATCGGAATAACGATTCGATGATTGTTAGAGCACCATTAGGAACTAGGAACCACTGGAAAACGGCCATTTCATCCTAGTATTCGATTTTGATTTTCGATACAAGACTCGAACTCAGTACCGTTGATTTCAGTTATCATCGTGGATATCAACTTTGGGATGCAGGTACATCAAGCTGATTAATACGAAATAAGATGGAACGCGCACAGGATCCACGCACAATGAACGTATACCAAATGAGACTGATTAATTGCAGTCGTAGCTATCAATGCGAAGATTCGAAATACCAATACAAATGTATTATACTCAACAAAATTTTATCTTTTGAAATAAAATGTTTTTATTTATAATACCTACACAACTTAATAATCCGTAACCCCTTATGGCGTCTTTTTGATTCTTACTTTAATCTCCCAATCATTTAGATTAATGTGACTTGTATGTCTTTCTGCAAATTTCTGTTGGGGATGTTAGATCCCCATAACTCGCTTGATGAATGCCTTATCTTGGATTACACGTTTGTGAGCTTGGGCTGATCGGTTGACCTTAAGATTTCATTTCCAACCAGGAAAATCCATGGCTGTGATTGGCTGCTGTGTATTTTAGTGTGCTATTTTTGTGACTGTCGCAAGGACGTTTCTATGTTGTATAAATAAACGAGAGTTGTATGCTTGATTGTATTGTGCTTGCTGGGTGTTGTAGAATATACTTTCTACGCTTATCAAGACTTCGCGTTTGCAGTTTTGAGATCAAGGTAGCCTACCTGAGCGCTGGATCATTGTCTCGTTCGCGTTTATCGACTAAGATGAACCCGTAATAGCTTCAAGCGTACCTGATGACGAATGTAACAATTTCCTTATGATTTAAAACTTTTACAACTGATATTTTTCGTACTATTTTTTGTATTTTGTACAATTAGAGATTCACAAAATGAATTATGTCAAAAGTTACAAGTTAAACTTCAAGAAATGGAAAAAGAACTCAAAATTCAACGGTGTGATCAAGTAAACTGATACATTTTTAGTATGATGAAGTTTACGGATATTGTTGGATTTTTCTAGTTAAAACTGCGAAATGATCTTATTCAGATTATTATTATTTGAAACCAATGAGGAATAATGGTTAGCTGTTTCATCTTAATATGTAACTCATCAGCATTGCACATCCATAACTCAATCATAAAGGATGAAATCCATGGTTTTTGCTTAAACATGTGAACGTCTAACCTTTAGACCACTGAGCTGGCGTCCACTTTATTGTATACTTTTAATGTTCGGTATTGACTAAATATTCTTTCTTATAGTTGAGGTTTACCGGTGTGCGAAAAGCAGTATGATGACAGTGATAAAAGTTTTAAAAATAAAACAGCTGTTTTGCATATATTTGAAAGAATTCATGAACAATCCTTATACAAAAAAGAGATGTGATATATTCGAAATAGATTCTAAGATATCTATGCTTAAATTTTATGAAATTAATGTTGAAAACAGCGACTTCATTGATCATCGGTCTTCCTGAGATTCGATTGTAGATTTAGAGTAACTGAACTAAAACCCAATATTTGAAAAGATTTAAGATTCTACCGAAATTCTTAAATATGGAAATGAAGCCTTGAGACATGTACATTTTCAATGGTAAATATTAGTTAATTTTTCAGGACCGATCTATTTCAAGATCCGTTTTAAACGATAAGTGTTAATGTACTTAACTGTATGAAGTATTTTACTGAAATAAATCCTAATACTCTTGCAGTCGATCAAATAACAAGGATACAAACGGTTTCGTAAGGTATTTGTCATCTCATGCCGTCTATAGTACGAATTAGAAATCTGAATTTGAATTAGAAATCGAACATATCACTTAAAAGTATGTTTTATAGTTTTTTTTAGGTGTGAGAATGAAAAATGACAAGTGTTTGTCTTTGAAGATCGGTCATATACATCTAGTTACGATAAATAATCGTGTACCAAAATGGCTTCAAAAACAAGTTAAATGATGAGGTTGTGCAACTCCGTGAATCGATCAAGTTAGACATTAACACCGTTAGGTACCGGCTCAGTGGTCCGATGGTTAGGCAGGCGTTCGCCTACAATACCGAAGGTCCTGGGTTCGAATCCTGCGGGGTGCAGGAGTCTTGGATGCGCACTGCTGAGGAGTCCCATACCAGGACGAAACGGCCATCCAGTGCTTCCAGGTTTCTAATGCTGGTCTAACATTGATCGATTCATGTTTTCAATAAAACTTAACAATCTTCACAACCTCGTAATACAAATTAAAAGAATCAATTAAAAGAACACCGACCAGAGAGCACCAATCTCCTCAATATTATGTGTACATCATGCGGACAAGTGCTAACTGTCATGAAATCTAGACCAAATAGGGTTCGCTACTTCTTTCAACTACCTTACACCAAATTAAGCGCTTTAGACGTGAGATACAATTAAATTGTTTTTTCTTCTAAATCTTCATAGAAGTTGGCTTTAGAAAAAGAATTTAAACTGTCACTTGAAAAGAAGGAACTGGAATTACAACAATGTAAAATTCAAACAAATCAAAAAATTGAACAGCTCACATTAGAAGTCAAACAGAAAGGTTAGTGATCTTGTTTTTATTTCTTTAAATGAAATGTTTACAGTTAAATGAAATACAGTAAAATAAATGACTTCATTTTTCATCAAGTATGATCATTTTAACCGATACGATTCATTGTAAGATTTTCAGTGAAATACAATTATTTCTCAATATAAACAATATCCAGAGGTTAAGCGTTCACGAGCAAGACTAAAGGTCCAGGGTTTGAATCCTGGAAGTAGCAGGAGTGGTGGATGCGCACTGTTGATGAGTCCTATACCAGGATGAAACGACCATCCAGTGCTTCCAGGTTTCTAATGGTGGTCTAAGAATGATTCGTTCTTGAATTCACTGTAATACCTAAGACCCTCGTATAAAAATATTTACTCTTTTAATTCACTTGAAATTTTTTTACGTCGTCTTGACAGATAATAAAGGTGTATTTATGTGTTGAAATGATTTCGAATGAAAATGCCCAGTATTTGACAATCATCTAACAGATAGAGGCATTTGTTAATACGACGAGAGAAATCCTTTTCTCTGGGTTTCAAAATTAATTTGTGTTTAAGATTGATTATCGTCAAGAAATATGCAAAATGGATAATAACATTTACTTTTATGTAATTTAGAGAAACGGAAGGCTACATTGAGATTATACTAGGTTTAATACATATCATTGAGTACGGGTCTGCCCTTTTTCTTGACAAACAGGGCCTCTACGAGCTAAGCATGACCGAAGACTTTCCATATTTGATTATCACCTCCCAAACAGATTGCTGACATCCATTGGCAATAGCATATTCCTAATATTCAGCTTCAGCAATGTTTTCGTACACAGTGTTGACAATCCTTACAGTCCTACTGTATTGATACACTGGTTACGGTGTTTTTGACAAGTTTTACGAATGTCCTCTCCGCACTTTCCATGTCCAGCATTTGCTGTCGACTGTAGGTGCAGAGGCATTCATTTTACGATATTTTATGAAAGTTGTATACGACTGGCATCGTTCGATTGATCAGTACTTCATAGTTTGCGTCCTAGAGATGATGCAACTCGACAACTTAGTACGTCGCAAGATCAAGCTCTGAAAAGAAGTTAGTGGTGATCCTGTTGTTTCGTTTTACATTCTTTATGAAAGCTAGAGGAACTGGACGTAGTCTTCTGCTTTTTTTGGCTGATTTTTTCTAGATTTAACTCTTCTTCTCTCAAAATGTTATCACTTCATTTGTTTATTGTATACTTTTTTGGGGTGACAAGTCGTATCGGAATTCATAAATACTAAGTTAATGAATTAATAAGAAAACTGATAACAAAAAAAGAGTTATTGAAATTTTTAGCACTTTGATGATTCTGTCATTTCGTTTGGTGCATAATTTAAGTTTTATTGTGGTGCTGTTTCGTTCTCTGAGCTGGATATTTTGGTTGTGAAGTTTTCATTGTTCTTCTGAACAACATCGTCAGCACAAACTTCAGATGGAAGTGAAGTATTCGAATTTCTCCACATTTGACCTGTAGCTAGTTCTGCTAACCTCGATCTTGATTGGTTGCTGTTTACCTTAAATATGTCGTTGTTTTCACCTTTCTTTCGATTGTATCCCCCTTTTGATCTGTTTCTTGATCCTATGTCACCTATGATTTTCCTGACTTGTGGATAAATTGGGTCAATGTCGATGTGTTTGTTATTGATGAAAGCTTCACAACCAAAATATCCAGCTCAGAGAACGGATCACCACCACAATCATCTACCATCTCAAAATCACACAAGTTTTATTTTCAGGCGACACAAAACTTATCATTAATCCGAATATGTACACAGAGACAATAAACGTGTAATATAATTATGTCTGTTAAGTTTATGTTCAAGTTATCATATTTAATTAACAAAGTGTTGGGCAAACTCTAAGCTTGATATTGATTTTAGTTTGACTGATATGTAAAAGACTGTCTATCCGCGTTCTAAGCTCACTTACATTTTGAATAAGTACGAAATATATTCAGTGTTGAGTTACTATTTAGCCTCTAAGTTTAATGCTCACTTAAAAGTGAAATAATCTTGTTTGTTAGTCAATTGTGCTGTAATCCATTCACTAGCTAACATCATTCATGACAAAAGATAATACTAGTCATCGTTTCAGGCAATCAGAACACCACTAACACTATATTTCTTTAATCAGCGTATGTGAAATTTTTTTATTATTGAAAACAACAATAGGAATCCATGTATCATTGTTCTTTAGTAGTTAGAAAACTTCTCAACAATATATATTATTGCTTAAATGAACCATAATACACAGCTTGGATTATTTTACATTTTAGTGAAGATACATAAAGCCGGTTGCAGGCCCTTTGTGAAATATTACTATTAAGCAATTAGAATCTGTTGATAATTCAATATCTTCTCCTGATGCGGAAAATATTCCTTAACTTGTTGTTATCAATAAGTTTACTCTCGATACTACTACTGTAGTGAACGAGGACACAAGTGGGGCAACCGAATTGTGTTTAACGAAAATTACAGAGTTACTCAGTAAAATCGGAAAACCATATCGTAAATCGTTAATTTGCAAAATATCAGTCCATCATATCGAACTGGACTGTTCCTGTTGCAAAACATCAATCCATTGTCACTATTCATGCGTTTCATACAAATTCCATTGTGTTCTAACTCTTCCTTTCTTGATCTTCCCCCATCTTCTGTTGCCAAACATTACGTTGACACTCACGTCATATACTACTTATAAGTAGCTCACACCACACTACTACTAATTGTTTTTTCTTATCAAAATGTGTTTATTTTTTATTAATCTTACAGAGAGAGAAAATCTCGTTTTACAAGAAGAACATCGTCGTATTATGGAAACAATGAAAGAGGAAATTAATCAGTTGACTAATAACATGAACAATTCCAATTCTGTTCGAATAGAACTTGAAAATCAAGTTCAAAAATATCAACAAGAAGTTAGAAATTTTGACTTTAGTATCGTTCATATTTTTTTAATCAAAAAGAGGATCTTTCAAGTAAAGTTTGCCAATCTGGATTCTATTCTTAAGGTTCATTTGATATTGGATATCATGTAGAAAATATGGTGAAGAATTAGTGAATTCATGTATAATGGCCAGTGGGTTAAACCTGGCCGCTTAAACAGAAGTTGGTTGAATCGATAATGTATTTGAAAACTAGTAGCCAGAATTTTGAATCTTTTTAACACTCAAATATACACTGATTTCAACATGGATCATTTAGCTTCATGTCCTATAACTAAACAGACAAATCGATGGATAAATTCTCGTCAATAGAAGAAATTGATTAATTGTTACTTTCTTGATTATCTTAACATTTATTAATTTTGCATTAGAGTATTACGGAAATGGTAGTTTTTACACACCATCAGAAATCTGGAAGCACTGGACAGCCGTTTCGTTTTGGTACGGGACTCATCAGTAGTGAGCATCCACGACTCCTGCACCTCGCGGGACTCGAATCCGGGACCTTCGGCACTGTAAGCGAACGCCTAACTATCGAACCACTGGGCCGGAAGCCAACGGTGTTAATGTCTAACTCTGATTGATCTACGGATTTTGCGCGACCTCACCCATTTGTCTTTGGTAGTTACTGCCTACACCCGACAGGGTTGAACTCCTTTGGTCACGTCTTCTCAACTAGAACTCTGAGAATTCCCTCACAAAGCTAGTCACTAGTGAGCACTGTTACGATATTTTCGGGCAGAGTTTTGGAGGTTTGTGTTTTTACACATTTGAAATCATCATCCGATGGTTAGGCGTTCGCGTGCAATACCGAAGGTCCCGGGTTCGAATCCTGAGAGGTACAGGAGTCGTGGATGTGCACTGCTGATGAGTTCCATACGAGGACGAGACGGCCGTCTTGCAGGTTTCTAATGGTGGTCTAACAATGATTGTTTAGTGATTTCGAATGTGTAAAAACACAAACCTCCAAAACTCTGCCCGAAAATGGTAGTTTTACCTTGAGATCATGAATGAATTATTGTTAGACCATCATTAAAAGCCTAAAAGCACTGAAAGACAGCTATTTCGTCCTAGTATGGGACTACTCATCAGCAGTGCATAACCACGACTCTAGTACCTAGCAGGATTCGAACCCATGACCTTCGGTCTTGCGTGTGAACGCCTAACCTCTAGACCACTGAGCCGGCATCCAATGGTGTTAATGTCTAACTCTGTTCAATCTGGGGATAATGAGCAACCTCACCCATTGTGCCTTCGGAAGTTACTGCCTACACTCAACAGGGCTGAACACCACTAGTTGCGCATTATTATTTTGCCTATTTCAATCATAATGTTAAATAATTAATTATTATTTTCTTTAGGTTAAACAACTTTATGCTACAGTTGAAAAAGAATGTTGGGAAAGAGATGAATTAAACTCAGTATTAGCTGAAACAAGGGAACAATTAATGAAATTAAGTAATTCATCAGAACAATCTGAATCTAAACAAAAACAATTTAATCGATATGAAAATCAAACAGATGATAATCTATTACCGCCAATATCTTCATCGTCCGTGAAGTCTGAACAATTTACCAAATGTACTCTTTCAAAAAGTTCAAAGAATTCTAACCTTAATAATAATAATAATAATAATAGTATTCCAAGGCGTTCTTTACAAAATTCCAGGTAAGAATTTACGCATTGATTTATGAAAGTCGATAATCCATAGTCCGCGAGATGATAATAATCGATGATTAGAGACTCTGAATGACATGGCTCAAAATCGTTCGCAATGGCGCCGGTGCATTTATTCTTTGTGTTCTCTCAAATGCTAACCTTCTGGATTCTTCAACACCTCTAGTTTTGACTTTCTAAACTTTTCTCATTTAATCATACTTCTTGAATAATATCTTCTAATCCTAACCTCTCCGATTACTTCTAATACCTTTACTACCTCTTCTACTATTGGATTTGAATTGACAATTATATCTCTGTGTGCCGATTTGGTATGGCAACATGAACTGATGTACTTACGTACGAAGTTCTACGTTGCAACTGACTGATAATCCATATTAGATAAATGAACTATAGGAAAATTGACATTGATTTTTTTTTAGAAACCATGTATTACTTATTTTTATTTATGTATTATGAGTATCAAAATCATTATTTTTCAATTTAGTTAATATTGGTTATAGTTTAAAAATCGTGAATAAATAACATGTCGACATCTAAACTGAAACTTTGATAGTATACTCTATAATTGATACTTGCAGGTTTGTATTTGAATTCTGCCAATTAAATAAATGCACCGCTATCAAACAACACTATATTTTATCGAGATAGTTATAATCTCTAGTTGAATCATAATTTACATCATAGAATTGTTAAACATTATGGGTTAGTATAATTTAGTTGACCGCTTCACCTATCTTAAGAATCTCATCAGTGTGCTGATGGCCTGGTGTGTGACGGAATCTCAGCACGGATGACAGAAGGCTCGATTGGCTTTGGCCAACTTGCATTACCTACGGTGTAGGCGTTATCCGTTTGTTAACCAAAAGACGAGTCTACTGCACATTAGTTTGCTCCGTCCTACCTAATGGCTATGAAACATGGCCACTCAGAGCAGAAGATATTCGTAGGTTATTAGTATTCGATTATAGGTGTCTTCTATTCTGAACAAATTGATTAAAGTTGTGACATATCAAGAACCATTGCTTATTTCGAAAGTTTAAACATAGGCTGGTAATAAGCCTACGCAGTTATCATGAGTAGTAGTGAGTAGAGAAAATAAAAGACATGGAAAAGGCACTGGTGCTAGGTAACAGTAACCAACTGCTTAGACTTATCAAGAATACAAGTATCCTGCTGATAGTGAGACCATTTTAGAAGCAGACAAGAAAAATATTCACTCCCGACCCACGAGTTTGGGTCGACGGTCAGAACATTCGAGGGAACACTTCAACTATCATTCAACAACACACCAACTACCCACCATATCCAAACAACCTAAATGGGAAAATGATATCAAGAATCGAACTCTTAGAGGCTGAAAAAACCAAGGGCAATCTGGAGCGAGGAAAAGCAGCGGGACCTGACTGATTACCCTTAGGTTTCTAGAGAACGCCCTTGTTGTTGTGTGGGATGGAAAAGTAGATCTTTGAAGTTCAAGTCGTCCAGCTGCATTCAAGTTCTGCAGTAAGATGTTGAGATTTTTAAAATCCAGGATAAGCAACATTGTTTGATACTGGTTTCATCCTGTGAGCTGCAACCGAACTACCCACGAGAAAAATGTTGAAGGATATACTCATACAATAGTTATCAACCTTATGCTTTTAATTATGGCGTTAAGGCAGACAGACAGACAGATACAACGCAGAATTTCGTACATAAGTACATCAGTTCCGGTTGCCATACCATATCAGCACAAAGACGTGACTGTTAGTTCAAATCCAAGAGTAGAAGTAATCGGAGAGGTTAGGATTAGAAAATATTATTCAAGAAGTATGTGATTCAGTGAGAAAAGTTTAGAAAGTCAAAACTAGAGGGTTTGAAGAACCCAGAAGATTAGGATTTGAGAGAACACAAAGAATAAATGCACCGGCGCCATTGCAAACGGTTTTGAGCCATGTCATTCAATGTCTCTAACCATCGATTACAATCATCTCGCGGACCCCAACCAGGTAGTCGACAATTACCACATGTCTAAGTCCACTCGTCAATGACTTCATGGATTTCTGCCATGTTTTGGTTCGGCCGCCCGTAACTTTCTTCCAACCTACTCCTACACCACAAAATAGTCGGTGGTTAGGCAGTAATGGAGAAGATTAGGGAGCGAAGATATGATTCGAGAAGTATAATTCAGTGAGATAAATTTAGAAGCAGAAAGGTAGAGATTATGATGAATGCAGGTTAGAACTCATAGAACACAAAGAGTGGATGCTCCTGCGCCATTGGTGACTTTTGTCTCGCGAACCTCAACCAGGTAGCCTACATCTACCAACATGACTCAGTCCACTTGCCCTCAGTGACTTCATGCATTTCCGCCATGCTTGGTTTAGCCGCCCCTAGCTTTCTTCCAACCTACTCCTACACCACAAAACATAGCTTGTCGCGGCAGTCGGTGGTTAGGCATACGTAACACACCCCAACCGATGGAGTTTCATTACTTCATCTATCGATTTGCCATCCCTACATAGTACTCGATTCCTAACGACAGCATTGCTTATACGGTTGCAATGCTTCCGATACACCTATGATCGAAGACTAGTAACCTACGAATGTCCTCTACGGCCATGTTTCGCATCCGTATAGTAGGACAGAGCGAACTGCTGCGCAGTACACTCGTCCTTTGGTTAACAAGCGGATATCTCGCCTGCGCCATAAGGCCTTATTTCATAATTTATGGGAAACTTATTTCGGAGATAGCAGCTAGTAAGCGTAAGATCACTAATGAGCTAATTCAAGCCCCCTCCAGTTTTCAGAGACTATCCAACGAGTAAGATCAAAATGTTTTAGTTATCCTTCAAAAGTTTATGGAATGTATTGTTTAAAATTGCCTTCATTGATTGCTATTTTTATTTTCAAGGAACATAAAAGATACTTCTGGATTAGCTGCTACACGAAGACAAATTGCTGCCATTATTTCTGCAACAAAGTTTCGATGTTAATGACTCAACAGAGTTAACTGAACTTTCAACGATTTGTAAAATAGCTGTAATGCATACATCTTGTAATTTAAAACAATATACTGTACGTATAGTCCACTAGAATGACTTCTTACATTAAATAGGAATCAGCAGCGAAAAGAGGAGAATGACTGATTGTTGGCCTACAGTTAGAGGTGTTGCAATGAACGTAAGTTATTTCTTGATGTCACAGTTTATGCTGTAAAAATCCTCGGTAATTACTGCTGAGTCTTCAAACTACAGAGCAAATTTTAGGACTAGTTAAGCATAATCACTAGGGTCTATCCTAGTGATTGTCACCATATGCGCGGCCTACAACTGATTAGCTTTGTTTCAAGATATCACTTTTTTCATTATAAGAAATATGTATCAGTTCCTATTAACCAACTTTTACTGTTGTACGCACGACTGTCTTCTACCCGGATGATAACTAAAGCTAACCTCTAGGCTTTTAATACGACTGATCTTAGGAAGTACTTCGTTTCCCTACTACAAACGTAATTCGTTTTTGCCTTTCGTTGCGTGTTGTGAGGACAGTAGTGAATATAATTTTATAGTAATTATTCAAAACTAGTATAATGTAAGTGAAGACCACCATTGAGCAGCCTACTGTGGTAATCCATTGTTTGTGGTGGTGTTTGTTGAACCAAACCACAATCATCCACCTCAGCTACAAATCTACACCATCTCTGCGTACTCAAACTTCTCGCCACTGACATGATCTTATACAGCTCGAGTTGCTGAGATTTCATTATGTTGCCATCCAATACCCTATATAATGTCATAAACTTTTTAATTTAGGCTATATAAGAAACAATCACCTGAACTTCGTACTCATTTCAGTACGAAGATCTAGTCAGTGACTGCTAATATAACAGTCTGCACTTAATGTTAAAAGATGAAAACAAGTCACTAGAGTATTTCAAGTTGTTCAGAGGTCATACCCATTTTTCCCGAATCGAGCTCAAACCGCGTGCTATAAGGGTGGTTGTCATTTCCTGATTGCCGGCACCGTGGAAGGTTGTTTCTTGAGGGACCTGAAAAGGAAGATAGATTAGTTTTACTCTTAGAGACCTGAGAGCGTGACCGTAGAGCCCAAGGGACAACTGCTTGACACCGGTCACGCACGGCCTTTTTATGAAGGGTTTTTCGAGTATTAGCTCCGCTCTTGAAAACCCTTAGTGGCCACCCTTACCGCCGGAGATGGAAATCCGTGAGGTGTGACATTTTTAGGGTCGACCTTTTCTAACCCTTCCTTCCTTGTGAGAAGGCAGCATCGCTGCAGATGCTGGTTGTCCGAGGGAAACACCTTACTGCTGTCACACATCTCTGCAGTCAGCAGTACGACTTTGCCCTCAAACCTTGAGTAGCTGCTTTTAGTCTCATCGTTCTCCAATCGACCTGCCTGGCATGGTAGAACCTTCAGAAACATGTTCGAGCCAATATAGCTCAGCTGGGTCATCACGATAGGCAAGCCCGATCACCAGGTCAGGGTAGCAGCTACTTTCGAGCTAGTTAGATATTTACCTCAACAATATTAAATTTCCTTATCACCAATTTAAGTTAATATCTAACGCTTATATCACCAGTACAAGGGTGTTCTTGTCTCATCTAATCATCGGACTTCGACATGCATCTACTGTTTGTACATTTATCTAAAGAATGTTTTGTAGTTTTATCTAATTTTATTGGGCTATATGTTAAACATTTGCATTTTCCTACAATTGTAGCCTGTTGAACATCCCCACGGTGGTGGTAACCATCAACATATTGGTAAACCATCTACTATCCGACGTGACGCATCACACGGTCGCAAAGTTGGTCTGATAGCTGCTAGACGAACTGGGCGTATTCGTGGTACTCGTGTAATTACTTCGAAATCCGACAAAGAATAAAACTAAATAAAATAATCGTATGGTTTAAAGATCTTGCTAGTTTTGCTTAATGGGTTTATTTATTAATTACTAAACTGCGTAGCACAAGTTCGCCTCATTGCACTATACAGTATTCATGTAAGTAATTAGATTAACATAGCAATATAATAGTATCTCAAACGAGCTAATGACAGCCCGAAATATGCAATGATTAGTGTGTTAAAGGCAATAATTTTCTCTACCTAAAAACAATACCACATGGAAAGCAATTGTTATTAGGAATCGATATCCACGTACCCCTTTAAAACACATGTCTATATTCGTGAGTGAATGAATGTAGTACTTGAAAATCGAAGACGATCTACTTGTGTAACAAAACCTGTGCTGTTTGAGACAACAATGCGATGAAAGACGAATAAAATTTGGACCAAACAACGTATAGATTTTAATGTAATACGATATGTGGCTTTTAGGAACTTGATTATAAACCAAATCTCATCCACCGGCGTAGGAATTATTGCTTAGTTCATATCCTGAACAGTGAACCTGATAGTAGGCGGTGAGTTGCCGTTCCACTCATCATTTTCATCAGCAACTTTTGGAGTTCGGTTATGATGCGAAGATGGATTTTTGGTTTTGATTTTCGATAAATGTAGTCTTGGATTATCGTAGGTTAGAGCTCTACGTTCGTCATGACTCTACCAACCAAGCATTTTTCGTGTGCTTACCCTACTATGAAACAGTTCTTTATGCTTGCACTGCAGTCGATTTTGAACTAAACGCAGCTCAACTTATGTAGAAAGCAGTCATTCTCCTCTTTTCGCTGCTGATTCCTATTTAATGTAAGAAGTCATTCTAGTGGACTATACGTACAGTATATTGTTTTAAATTACAAGATGTATGCATTACAGCTATTTTACAAATCGTTGAAAGTTCAGTTAACTCTGTTGAGTCATTAACATCGAAACTTTGTTGCAGAAATAATGGCAGCAATTTGTCTTCGTGTAGCAGCTAATCCAGAAGTATCTTTTATGTTCCTTGAAAATAAAAATAGCAATCAATGAAGGCAAATTTAAACAATACATTCCATAAACTTTTGAAGAATAACTAAAACATTTGATCTTACTTGGATAGGCTTTGAAAACTAGAGGGGGCATGAATTAACTCATTAGTGATCTTACGCTGCCATTTCCGAAATAAGTTTTCCATAAGTTATGAAATACGGCCTTATGGCGCAGGCGAGGTATCCACTTGTTAGCCAGAGGACGAGTGAACTGCGCAGCAGTTCGCTCTGTCCTACTATACGGATGCGAACCATGGCCGTAGAGGACATTCGTAGGTTACTAGTCTTCGATCATAGGTTTATCGGAAGCATTGCAACCGTATAAGCAATGCTGTCGTTTGGATTTGAGTACTAGGTAGGGATGGCAAATCAATAGATGAAGTAGTGAAACCTAATCAGTTGAGATGTGTTACGTATGCCTAACCACCGACTTCCGCGAAAAGCCATGTTTTGTGGTGTAAGAGTAGGTTGGAAGAAAACTAGGGGCGGCTAAACCAAGCATGGCGGAAATGCATGAAGTCACTGAGGGCAAGTGGACTGAGTCATGTTGGTAGATGTAGGCTACCTGGTTGAGGTTCGCGAGACAAAAGTCACCAATGGCGCAGGAGCATCCACTCTTTGTGTTCTATGAGTTCTAACCTGCATTCATCATAATCTCTACCTTTCTGCTTCTAAATTTATCTCACTGAATTATACTTCTCGAATCATATCTTCGCTCCCTAATCTTCTCCATTACTGCCTAACCACCGACTATTTTGTGGTGTAGGAGTAGGTTGGAAGAAAGTTACGGGCGGCCAAACCAAAACATGGCATAAATCCATGAAGTCATTGACGAGTGGACTTAGACATATCGGTAATTGACGATTACTTGGTTGGTGTCCACGAGATGATAATCGATGGTTAGAGACATTGAATGACATGGCTCAAAATCGTTCGCAATGGCGCCGGTGCATTTATTCTTTGTGTTCTCTCAAATCCTAATCTTCTGGGTTCTTCAAAACCTCTAGTTTTGACTTTCTAAACTTTTCTCACTGAATCACACTTCTTGAATAATATCTTCTAATCCTAACCTCTCCGATTACTTCTACTATTGGATTTGAACTGACAGTTACGTCTCTGTGCTGATATGGTATGGCAACCTGAACTGATGTACTTACGTACGAAGTTCTGTGTTGTATCTGTTTGTCTGTCTGCCTTAACGTCCATAATTAAAAGCATAAGGTTGATGATTAGTGTATATGAGTATATCCCTTAACATTTTTCTCGTGGGTAGTTCGGTTGCAGCTCACAGACTGAAACCAGTATCAAACAATGTTGCTTATCCTGGATTTTAAAAATCTCAACATCTTAGTACAGAACTTGGATGCAGCTGGACAACTTGAACTTCAAAGATCTACTTTTCCATCCCAAACAGCAACAAGGGCGTTCTCTAGAAACCTAAGGTTAATCAGTCAGGTCTCGCTGCTTCTCCTCGCTCCAGATTGCCCTTGGTTTTTTCAGCCTCTAAGAGTTGGATGCTTGATATCAATTTCCCATTTAGGTTGTTTGGATATGGTGGGTAGTTGATGTATTGTTGAATGATAGTTAAAGTGTTCCCTAAAGTGTCCTGTCCGTCGACTCAAACTCGTGGGTCGGGAGTGAATATTTGTCTTGTCTGCTTCTAAAATGGTCTCACTAACAGCAGGATACCTGTATTCTTGATAAGTCTAGGCATTTGGTTACTGTTACCTAGCACCAGTGCCTTTTCCATGTCTTTTATTTTCTCTACTCACTACTACTCATGATAACTGCGTAGGCTTATTACCAGCCTATGTTTAAACTTTCGAAATAAGCAATGGTTCTTGATATGTCACAACTTTAATCAATTTGTTCAGAATAGAAGACACCTATAATCGAATACTAATAACCTACGAATATCTTCTGCTCTGACTGGCCATGTTTCACAGCCATTAGGTAGGACGGAGCAAACTAATGTGCAGTAGACTCGTCCTTTGGTTAGCAAACGGATAACTCCTATACCGTAAGTGACGCAAGTTGGCCAAAGTCAATCGAGCCTTCTGTCATCCGTGCTGAGATTTCGTCACACACCAGGCCATCAGCACACTGATGAGATTCCTAAGATAGGTGAAGCGGTCAACTAAATTACACTAACCCATAATGTTTAAGAATTCTATGATGTAAATTATGATTCAACTAGAGATTATAACTATCTCGATAAAATATAGTGTTGTTTGATAGCGGTGCATTTATTTAATTGGCAGAATTCAAATACAAACCTGCAAGTATCAATTATAGAGTATACTATCAAAGTTTCAGTTTAGATGTCGACATGTTATTTATTCATGATTTTTAAACTATAACCAATATTAATTAAATTGAAAAATAATGATTTTGATACTCATAATACATAAATAAAAATAAGTAATCCATGGTTTCTTAAAAAAAAATCAATGTCAATTTTCCTATAGTTCATTTATCTAATATGGATTATCAGTCAGTTGCAACGTAGAACTTCGTACGTAAGTACATCAGTTCATGTTGCCATACCACACATCAGCATAGAGATGTAATTGTCACTTCAAATCCAATAGTAGTAGAGGTAGTAAAGGTATTAGAAGTAATCGGAAAGGTTAGGATTAGAAGATACTATTCAAGAAGTATGATTCAGTGAGAAAAGTTTAGAAAGTCAAAACTAGAGTTGTTGAAGAATCCAGAAGATTAGGATTTGAGAGAACACAAAGAATAAATGCACCGGCGCCATTGCAAACGATTTTGAGCCATGTCATTCAAGGTCTCTAACCATCGATTATTATCTCGCGGACTATGGATTATAGTATTTCATAAATCCATACGTAAATTCTTACCTGGAATTTTGTAAAGAACGCCTTGGAATATTATTATTATTATTATTATTATTATTAAGGTTAGAATTCTTTGAACTTTTTGGTAGAGTACATTTGGTAAATTGTTCAGACTTCACGGACGATGAAGATATTGGCGGTAATAGATTATCATCTGTTTGATTTTCATATCGATTAAATTGTTTTTGTTTAGATTCAGATTGTTCTGATGAATTACTTAATTTCATTAATTGTTCCCTTGTTTCAGCTAATACTGAGTTTAATTCATCTCTTTCCCAACATTCTTTTTCAACTGTAGCATAAAGTTGTTTAACCTAAAGAAAATAATAATTAATTATTTAACATCATGATTGAAATAGGCAAATTAATAAGGCGCGAGCAGTGGTGTTCAACCCTGTTGATTGTAGGCAGTAACTTCCTAAGACACAATGGGTGAGGTTGCTCATTATCCCCAGATTGAGCAGAGTTAGACATTAACACCGTTGGATGCCAGCTCAGTGGTTCACAGGTTAGGCGTTCGCACGCAAGACCGAAGGTCCTGGGTTCGAATCCTGCGAGGTACTAGAGTCGTGGTTATGCACTGCTGATGAGTAGTCCCATACTAGGACGAAATAGCTGTCTTTCAGTGCTTTTAGGCTTTTAATGATGGTCTAACAATAATTCATTCATGATCTCAAGGTAAAACTACCATTTTCGGGCAGAGTTTTGGAGGTTTGTGTTTTTACACATTCGAAATCACTAAACAATCATTGTTAGACCACCATTAGAAACCTGCAAGACGGCCGTCTCGTCCTCGTATGGAACTCATCAGCAGTGCACATCCACGACTCCTGTACCTCTCAGGATTCGAACCCGGGACCTTCGGTATTGCACGCGAACGCCTAACCATCGGATGATGATTTCAAATGTGTAAAAACACAAACCTCCAAAACTCTGCCCGAAAATATCGTAACAGTGCTCACTAGTGACTAGCTTCGTGAGGAAATTCTCAGAGTTCTAGTTGAGAAGACGTGACCGACGGAGTTCAACCCTGTCGGGTGTAGGCAGTAACTACCAAAGACAAATGGGTGAGGTCGCGCAAAATCCGTAGATCAATCAGAGTTAGACATTAACACCGTTGGCTTCCGGCCCAGTGGTTCGATAGTTAGGCGTTCGCTTACAGTGCCGAAGGTCCCGGATTCGAGTCCCGCGAGGTGCAGGAGTCGTGGATGCTCACTACTGATGAGTCCCGTACCAAAACGAAACGGCCGTCCAGTGCTTCCAGGTTTCTAATGGTGTGTAAAAACTATCATTTCCGTAATACTTTAATGCGAAATTAATAAATGTTTAGATAATCAAGAAAGTAACAGTTAATCAATTTCTTCTGTTGGCGGGAATTTGTCCATCGATTTGTCTGTTCAGTTATAGGATATGAAGCTAAATAATCCGTGTTGAAATAAGTGTATATTTGAGTGTTAAAAAGATTCAAAATTCTGGCTACTAGTTTTCAAATACATTATCGATTCAACCAACTTCTGTTTAAGCAGCCAGATTTAACCCACTGGCCATTATACATGAAATCATTAATTCTTCACTATATTTCCTACATGATATCCAATATCAAATGAACCTTAAGAATAGATTCTCGATTGGTAAACTTCACTTGAAAGATTCTCTTTTTGGTTAAGAAAAAAGACAAACAAACAATACTAAAGTCAAAATTTCTAACTTCTTGTTGATATTTTTGAACTTGATTTTCAAGTTCTATTCGAACTGAATTGGAATTGTTCATGTTATTAGTTAATTGATTAATTTCCTCTTTCATTGTTTCCATAATACGACGATGTTCTTCTTGTAAAACGAGATTTTCTCTCTCTGTAAGATTAATCAAAAATAAACACATTTTGATAAGAAAAAACAATTAGTAGTAGTTTGGTGCGAGCTACTTATAAGTAATATATGACGTGAGTGTCAACGCAATGTCTGGCAGCAGAAGATGGGGGAAGATCAAGAAAGGAAGAGTTAGAACACAATTTGGAATTTGTATGAAACGCATGAATAGTGACAATGGATTGATGTTTTGCAACAGGAACAGTCCAGTTCGATATGATGAACTGATATTTTGCAAATTAACGATTTAAGATATGGTTTTCCGATTTTACTGAGTAACTCTGTAATTTCCGTTTAAGACAATTCGGTTGCCCCACTTGTGTCCTCGTTCATTACAGTAGTAGTATCGAGAGTAAACTTATTGATAACAACAAGTTAAGGAAAGTTTTCTGCATCAGGAGAAGAAATTGAATTATCAACAGATTGTAATTGCTTAATAGTAATATTTCTCAAAGGGCCTGCAACCGCCTTTATGTATTTTCACTAAAATGTAAAATAATCCAATCTGTGTATCAAGGTTAATTTGAACAATAATGTTTAATATTGTGAAGTTTCCTAACTATCAAAGAATAATGATACATGGATTCCCATTGTTGCTTTCAGTAATAAAAAAATTTCACATACACTAATTAAAGTAATGGAGTGTTAATGGTGTTCCGATTGCCTGAAACGATGCTTAGTATTATCGTTTGTCATGAATGATGTTAGCTACTGAATGAATTACAGTACAATTGACTACTAAACTTACAGGCTAAATAGTAACTCGCTATTGACTATAATTAGTACTTATTCAAAATGTAAGTGAGCTTAAAACACGGATAGGCAGTCAGTTACATATCAGTCGAACTAAAATCAATATCAAGCTTAAAGTTTGCCCTAACACTTTGTTAATTAAACATGATAACTTGAACACAAACTTAACAGACATAATTATATTACACGTTTATTGTCTCTGTGTACATATTCGGATAAATGATAAGTTTTGTGTCGCCCGAAAATAAAACTTATATGATTTTGAGATGATGGAGAAAATTTGTACCTCAGGTGGATGATTGTGGTGGTGTTTCGTTCTCTGAGCTGGATATTTTGGTTGTGAAGCTTTCATCAATAACAAACATATCGACATTGACCCAGTTTATCAACAAGTCAGGAAAATTATAGGTGACATAGGATCAAGAAAAAGATCAAAAGAGGGATACAATCAAAACAAAGGTGAAAACAACGACAGGTTTAAGGTCAACAGCAACCAATCAAAATCGAAGTTAACAGAACAAGCTATGGGTCAAACGTGGAGAAATTAGAATACTTCACTTTTATCTGAAGTTGTGCTGCTAATGTTGTTTCGAAGAACAATGAAAGCTTCACAACCAAAATAGCCAGTTCAGAGAACGAAACACCACCAGAATAAAACTTAAATTATGCACCAAACGAAATGACAGAATCATCATAGTGATAACCGTTTCAATAACTTTTTTTTGTTACCAGTTTTTTTATTATTCATTAACTGATACTTATAAAATTATCCGATACGACTTGTCATCCAAAAGAAGTATACAACAAACAGATGAGATGAAGAGATAACATTTTTAGAGAAGAAGAGTTAAATCTAGAAAAAATCAGCGAAAAAAACAGAAGACTACGTCCAGTTCCTCTAACTTTCATGAAGAATGTAAAACGAAACAACAGGATTTCCATTGACTTCTTTTCGGAGCTTGATCTTGTGACGTACTAATTTGGTCGAGTTGCATCATCTCTAGGACGCAAACTATGAGGTCGAACGATGTGAATCCTATACAACTTCCATAAAATATCATAGAATGGATGCCTCTCCACCTACAGTTGGCAAGGAATGCTGGACACGGAAACTGCGGAGATGACATTCGTAAAACATGTCAAAAACACCGTAACGAGTATATCAATAGAGTAGGACTGTAAGAATTGTCAATACTATGTCCGAAAAATTTGCCGAAGCTGAATATTAGGAATATGTTATTGCCAATCGATGTCAGAGATCTGTTTGGGAAGCGATAATCAAATATGGAAAATCTTCGGTTTTGCTTAGCTTGTGGAGGCCGTGTTTGCCAAGCAAAGGGCAGACCCACACTCAATCATATATATTAAATCTAGTATAATCTCAATGTGGCCTTCCGTTTCTCTAAATTACATAAAAGTAAATGTTATTATCCATTTTGCATATTTGTCGGCGATAATCAATCTTAAACGCAAAATAACTTTGAGACCCAGAAAAAATGATTTTTTTCCTGGTATTAACAAATGCCCCAATCTGTTAGATGATTAGCAAATACTGCGTATTTTCACTCCAAATCATTTCAGCACATAAATACACCTTTATTATCTGTCAAAACGATGTAAAGAAATTTGCTGTGAATTAAAAGTGTACATTTTTCTATACGAGAGTCGTAGGTATTACAGTGAATTAAAGAATGAATCATTCTTAGACCACCATTAGAAACCTGGAAGCACTGGATGGTCGTTTCATCCTGGAATAGGACTCATCAACAGTGCGCCACTTCCAGGATTCGAACCCTGTACCTTTAGTCTACTGAAAATATTCTAAATCATCGACAAATGGGAACATGTACAATCTTACAATGAGTCGTATCGGTTCAAATGATCATACTTGATGAAAAATGAAGTCATTTGTTTTACTGTATTTTATTTAACTGTAAATATTTCATCTAAAGAAATGAAAAAAGATCACTAACCTTTCTGTTTGACTTCTAATGTGAGCTGTTCAATTTTTTGATTTGTTTGAATTTTACATTGTTGTAATTCCAGTTCCTTCTTCTCAAGTGATAGTTTAAATTCTTTTTCTAAAGCCAACTTCTATGAAGATTTAAAAGAAAAAGCAGTCTAATTGCATCGCCTTTCTAAAGCGCTTAATTTGGTGTGAGGTGAGTTGGAAGAAGAAAGTAGAAGACCCTACTTGATCTAGATTTCGTGATAGTTAACACTTGTCAGCATGATGTACACGTAATATTGAGGAGATTGATGCTCTCTGGTCGATAAAAACCTAAGCCACCTAGATCCTCAATCTGACATAGCTTGTACCATTTAGATATTCAGGCTAATTATCGAATTCCATTTATCGATAGGTAAAACCATTGTAACCTGTTTTAACTATGAGCTAAACAATGAAAGAAGATCGGTGTTCTTTAACTAATTCTTTTAATTTGTATTACGGGGTTGTGAAGATTGTTAAGTTTTATTGAAACCATGAATCGATCAATATTAGACCAGAATTAGAAACCTAGAAGCATTGGACGGCCGTTTCGTCCTGCTATGGGACTACTCAGCAGTGCGCATCCAAGACTCCTGTGCCCCTCAGGATTCGAACTGAGGACCTTCGGTATTACAGGCGAACGCCTAACCATCCGACCACTGAGCCGGTATCTAACGGTGTTAATGTGTAACTTGATCAATTCACGGAGTTGCGCATCCTCATCATTTAACTTGTTTTTGAAGCCATTTTGGTACACGGTTATTTATCGTAACTATATGTATATGAGCGTTCTTCGAAGACAAATACTTGTCATTTTTCATTCTCACACCTAAAATAAACTATAGAACAAACCGTTAAGTGATATGTTCGATTTCTAATTTGAATTCAGATTTCTAATTCGTACTATAGACGGCATGAGATGACAAATACTGTACGAAACCGTTTTTATCCTTGTTATTTCATCAACTGCAACAGTATCAGGATTTATTTAGATAAATAAAATGATCTATCCTTTAAAACGGATCTTGAAATAGATCGGTCCTGAAAAATTAACTAATATTTACCAAAGAAAAATTACATGCCTCTAGGCTTCATTTTCATATTTAAGAATTTCGACAGAATCTTAAATCTTTTCAATATGGGGTTTCAGTTCAGTTAATCTAAGTCTACAATCGAATCTCAGGAAGACCGATGATCAATGAAGTCGCTGTTTTCAACATTAATTTCATAAAATTTAAGCATAGATATCTTAGAATCTATTTCGAATATATCACATCTCTTTTTTGTATAAGGATTGTTCATGAATTCTTTCAAATATATGCAAAACAGCTGTTTTATTTTTAAAACTTTTATCACTGTCATCATACTGCTTTTCGCACACCGGTAAACCTCAACTATAAGAAAGAATATTTAGTCAATACCGACATTAAAAGTATACAATAAAGTGGACGCCAGCTCAGTGGTCTAAAGGTTAGACGTTCACATGTTTAAGCAAAAACCATGGATTTCATCCTTTATGATTGAGTTATGGATGCGCACTGCTGAGGAGTTTCATAATAAAGTGAAACAGCTATCTAGTTCTCTTTGGATTCCTAATAATGATAATAATAATAATCTGAATAGACTACTTCGCAATTTTAACTAGAAAAATCCAACAATGTCCGTAAACTTCATCATACTAAAAATGTATCGGTTTACTTGATCACACCGTTGAATTTTAAGTTCTTTTTCCATTTCTTGAAGTTTAACTTGTAACTTTTGACATAATTCATTTTGTGAATCTCTAATTGTACAAAATACAAAAAATAGTACGAAAAAAATCAGTTGTAAAAGTTTTAAATCATAAGGAAATTGTTATGTTCGTCACTAGATACGCTTGAAGCATTACGGTTTGACCTTAGTCGATAAACGCGAACGAGACAATTACCAGCGTCCAGGTAGGCTGCCTTGGTCCGAAAACGGCAAAACAGAAGACTTGATAAGCGTAGAAAGTATATTCTACAACACCCAGCAAGCACAATACAATCAAGCATACAACTCTCGTTTATTTATACAACATAGAAACGTCCTTGCGACAGTCACAAAAATAGCACACTAAAATACACAGCAGCCAATCACAGCCATGGATTTTCCTGGTTGGAAATGAAATCTTAAGGTCAACCGATCAGCCCAAGCTCACAAACGTGTAATCCAAGATAAGGCATTCATCAAGCGAGTTATGGGGATCTAACATCCCCAACAGAAATTTGCAAAAAGACATACGAGTCACATTAATCTAAATGATTGGGAGATTAAAGTAAGAATCAAAAAGAAGCCATAACGGGTTACGGATCATTAAGTTGTGTAAGTATTATGAATAAAAACAGTTTATTTCAAACGATAAAATGTTGGTGAGTATAATACATTTGTATTGGTATTTTGAATCTTCGCATTGATAGTTACGACTGCAATTAATCAGGCTCATTTGACATACGTTTATTCTACGGGGATCGTGTGCGCATTCCATCTTATTTCGTATTCATCAGCTTGATTTACCTGCATCCGAAAGTTGATATCCACGATGATAACTGAAATCAACGGTACTGAGTTCGAGTCTTGTATTGAAAACCAAAATCGAATACTACGATGAAATGGCCGTTTTCCAGTGGTTCCTAGTTCCTAATGGTGCTCTAACAATCATCGATTCATTATTCCGATAAAATTCAATAATCTGCTCAACACTACAAAATAAAAAATAATGATAACTAATCGTCAAAAAATTGAGAATCTTTTTTAAGAAAAAAAAATAGAGTGACCTACTTGCTAGTCTTTAATTCAAATATTTCCTTCTTACCAATTTCCAATGCTGCACTTAATTGTTCATTGAGTTCTAAATAAAATTCAAACAAATAATTTGAAGTACTATTAGAATAATACAAATTTAAAATTAAGAAAACAATTCCGTACATATTCATTATAGATAATGTTGAATTAAATCTATTTTGTATGTCGGGAAAATTAATTGTAACACATACTTAGTAGAAATAGCTACCTGCTACTAGAGAGAACAAACCAGATTCCAGCTGAGGAAGAAATCAGGAAGAAGTGCTGGAGGTATGGATAGGACAAAGTTTGGGGAAAGCATTCAACTGCGTCACAAGACAAGCCTTCACATGAAATCCTCAAGGCCAAGGAAGAAGGGGAAGATAAAAGAACACACTGTGCCGAGAGTTGCAAGCAGACATGAAAAGAACGAACGGCAATTGGGTAGAACTATAAAGGGAGGCTCGGAGAGAGTAGATTGGAGAATGCTAGTCCGCAGCCTTGGCTCCATTGGGAGTAACAGGTGCAAGTAAGCAGCAATACTAGTCTTATCGTTTGATTTACACATTCAAAATACGCTTGTTTCAACAACTTAGTTCCGACCTGTAAAGATCATATTCTATTTAGAATTAACGTAATAACGGCTATCGAACCAACGTGTAGATGAAATATAAGAAAAAATACCTAACCTTTCATTATCAACATCATTACAATCAACATAGTATAAGACCCTAATCAAAATACTTTTTTTAATCTGAATTTTGAAAGATAAAGAACCACTTCTAGTAAACTATTCACTTAAACATGCCAGTTTGATATGTTTGACTCATTACGAGTTTACCTTAGTCAGTAAACGAGGTCGAGGATCCGGCGACACAACAGCCTACTCTAATCCGATTGTCTCAAACCCCCATATTGAGTAAAAGAAGAAGACTTGATATGAAGTAGAACCTGTATTCTACAAGCATCCAGAAAGTACGAGGTTCGAGTCCATAACAGAATGAGGATCCCGGACTAGGGATTCGGGTCTGGGTCATAAAACGTTACAGATAATGCGTATTTTTACAGTTAGGTCAAACAGGAACCAACAATCAACTCTGTGACATTGACAGTTAGGACGACCAATGGGAACAACATTGAAGTCTTTGACATTGACAGTTAGGACGACCATAATATTGACCAGTAAGAATTAACCAATACGAATTGACCAATAATTCTGTTAGGATATTCGATGAATATCCTAACAAAATCATAAGTGCATCAATCATTGTTAGACTACCATTAGAAACCTGCAAGCACTGAGAGACGGCTGTTTCGTCCCATTATGGGACTTATCGGCAGTGTGCATCCAACACTTTCGAATAATGGTCTAACAATGATTGATTCACGATTTTAATGTAAAACAACAATCTCTGTTACTCAATAATGAAGAATATCTTTATATAGTCAACTTTTCTCATACAGTCACTGAATCAACAGTTGAAATATTCATTATTCAATGAACCAATTGTTATAATTTCAAATTCCACCAATCACAATCATTTAGAACTCGGATTCAAACAGACTAGTAACATTTTACCAAATAATCTAAAAAGAAACAAACAATTTACTTTTGACATGAGTTAATTCGTCAGAAATATTGTTTATCTCATTTTGTAAACATTGTTCTTTTTCTTTAGAATTTTTTTCACAAAGATCATATTTTTTTAATTGATTAGTTAATTGTTCAGTTAAACTGTAATTTAAAAAAAAAATTATCAATCAGAAAAAAAACAGAATACATTACTATCCAAATAATCGATAAGTAGTATGCTTCAAACAAACAAAAAAATTGAACATTATTTGAATGGCTGTTTGTTTTAATTTTATCTAATAATGGCTTTTGTTTATTTGGTGACCTAATTTGATCAGTGGTTTTCAGCAGTTGGACTTCGTATAATACTCGTCCTGATAATCGTTACTAGATAAGGCTCGACGGTGTATAAATCAGAAGAGGAATTTAAAGCGTTGGTTACTTTTACTGTCGCATCACACACAGATCACAAAACCACAGGCATACGGAACGAACATGATATGCGAATGCTGAAGAACAAGCGAGAGAGTGAGCGAATGTGAATAGGATTAAAATGCACAGATATATATTCTTAGGAAAATGAGTGAGCCATCGAATTATTCAAGAGGCTAACATTAAAGCGAATGGAATGAATATGCATATAGGCGATTAGCAATGTTCAGTCATACCTGCTTACACAAACGCGACAATAATAAATGCATAATGGTACAAATAAGTTATTGCTACACGAACGATTCAGTCTGTTAAATAAGTTAACAAAAGGGCTGCTGATAAGCACCATACCAGGACGAAACGGCCGTCAAGTGCTTCCAGGTTTCTAATGGTGGTCTAACAATGACTAATTGATGATTTCAAATGTGTAAAAACACAAAACCTCCAAAACTCTGCCAGAAAATATCGTAACAGTGCTCACTAGGGACTAGCTTAGTGAGGAAATTCTCGGAGTTCTTGTTTTTTACTCTTGAGCCGTGGCTGAGAAACAGTAGCCAAGACACATTAAATAAACTTTAATTCAAAGGTGAGATGTCATTTACTGATTACTTGGCCACCTTGACATTTTAGAAGTTTTGACAAAAGATGCTAATATTGGTGACAAATTTTAACCAGACAACTTTTATAACCAAATCAATAGCTTCAGTGTAATTTTATCATACTATCGGGTCAATCAAAACCATGATAAAGACTGTGGTGGAGTTTCGTTCCTTGAGCTGGATGTTTTGGTTGTTCTCCTTCTGAACTAATCATCATCAGCACAAACTTCAGATAGAAATGAAGTGGGGAAAGTTTGTAGCTCAGATGCATGATTGTGGTGGTAATTCGTTCTCCAACTCAGAGAACGAAACACCACCACAAGAAGTGTAGTATTCGAATTTCCCCGCGTTTGACCTGGAGCTTGTTCTGTTAACCTCGATCTCCGTTGGTTGCAATTGTTCTTAAACCGTTCGCTGTTTGCACCTTTGTTTTGATTGTATCCTCCTTTTGATCTGTTTCTTGATCCGATGTCGCCTATGATTTTTCTGATTGGTTAATAAATTGGGTGAATGTCGATGTGTTTGTTGACTGCTAATTGACCTGAGTGCCAAGCTTCTAAAAATTCTCTAGTATTCTTTTCCTCCCCCTACCCAGTATTTCCACATTGTTCCAATCGAATGTGCGTCCATAATTGTCAGTATGTATTGATATAAGCGAAGAGTTGTCGTGGCGTTTGACTGCTAATTAGTGTTCACGTTAACGAAGCTCAAGAGGCCGTCTACTTTGTCCTATGTAGTGTTTTTCACAATGTTCTTCTTTTGCCATTTTGTCCTTTAGTCTACATAGGATTGATTGAATTGATTCTGTTGGTTTGTGTGCTACATGTATTCCAAATGGTTTCAGTAGTCATGCTGTATGCTCCGATATGTCTTTTATGTATAGTAGGATGATCCGTTTATTGGTTCCTGTACTTGTTTTCGCTTCTTTTGATAGGTTGAGTCGATTATTTTTGATGAAGTTGTGTGGATAGCCGTTCTTTTGGAAGATAGTAATCAGATAATTTTCTTCATTTTTTTGTGCTTCATGAGTGCTGCAGTATTTATTTCGCTCTCTTGAACAAACTTTGTTCAGTCAATCGAGATCAAAGTTAATAGAACAAGGTACGGGTCATATGTGGAGAAATTAGAATACTTCACTTCTGCTATCTGAAGTTTGTGCTGATGATGTTGTTCAGAAGGAGAACAATGAAAGCTTCACAACCAAAAAATCCAGCTCACAAGAACGAAACTCCACCACAATCATCCACCAACTCATGATAAAAACTTTTAGTCATTCTATGCAAAATTCGGAAAAGTAAATAATGTCACCTAGCACTCAATTGATGAAAGTGTTTATAAAGGAAACATTTATTTATAGCTTAAAATGTTTAAGTTTCATAAAATTTTAGACATGGATGATTTTAGAGTGACTCTAGAGTCACTGACCGAGTTACTACAACTCGAAAATGTAGTATAATTTCATTATAGTATCCCTATCAAAACAACACCCAAGTGTTGATATACATTTTTTGTAAATGCTGAAAACAGACATGCACATTACATTATGATTACATCTTTAAAAGACTATGAATAGTTAAGAGGTGTTCATTGTGATCACCTTAAAATATGACTCCAGAAAAAATGCTAAACTCCATGACTGCAAATCAATATTCTGTGACTAGGAAGAACGAACACTCAAATCAACCAGTGAATTGAAGGATTCACTGGTTGAATACAATCCTTCTTTCATCGCACCAACTAATGAATGTACATGGTACTTCAAATTTTATGAATGTTGTTAATTAATTGTATTTGAAGTTTATTTTTTCCAAACAAAATATTACGTGTATTGATTTGTTGGAAATCAATATTCTATCCTTTATCAAAAAAACAAAAAAAACTCGAAACCTTTCCCCGTTTTTATTTTATCAAAATTTCTTACTTTGATATCTTCTCTTGTAAACTTTTATTTTCATGTGCAAAGGATTGATTTTCTTCTTTTAAACTGTTTATTCTTTGTCTGTTTAGAAAACAAAAGGGATTCATGAAGTACAATATATACTACAGTTGAGAATAGAATAGACAGACTATGAAACATTAAAGACAGAGACAGACAGACACAACGCAGAACTTCGTACGTAAGTACATCAGTTCAGGTTGCCATACCACATCAGCACAGAGACGTAACTGTCAGTTTAAATCCAAGAGTGATAGCGATAATAGAAGTATTAGCAGTATTGGAGAAGATTAGAGAGAGAAGATATGACTCGAGAAGTACAATTCAGTGAGATAAATTTAGAATGAGAAAGGTAGAGATTATGAGGAATGCGGAAGCCTAGAATTTCTTAGAACACAAAGAGTGGATGCACCTGCGCCATTGCAAACGATTCTGAGCCATGTCATTCAAGTTCTCTAACCATCGGTAACTTTCGTCTCGCGGACCCCAATCAGGTAGCCTACATCTACTAACATGACTCAGTCCACTTATCAGTGACTTCATGGATTTGTGCCAAATTTGGTTTGGCCGCCCCTAACTTTCTTCCAACATCAAAGAACTCAGAGTTTTCCTAGAACAAAGTATTGGTTCAATTTCATAAAAGATTTGATGTACATACACATACCAGTAGTAAATTTAATAAATAATCTCTATTTTAACATCGTTTAAAACAAAAATAGTCATGAAATACTTTAATCAAGTTAGAATCAATGTTCAACTGATGAATTCAACGAACTATCATTGAACATGTAACATACATAGATTATTTTGAAATGCTTACTCAAAATTCGAAATTAATTGTCTTTTTTCATCATGTAAAGTATTCAATCGTTTAGCTTCTTCATTTAATTTTGTTTTTAATACTGAAATATTTGAAAATATTCATGAATAGTAATTAGTTGAATAAAAATAGAAATTTCAAATTATTCTTGACAGTTCTTTAGTAGAACATCTTTTTTTTTGCATAAGATATGATTAAAACAATACATGCAGACAGAAAAGATTCCACTAGAGTTGATTTAAAAAATGTTTCATGGCACAGTAATTTCTTGGAAAAAAATACATTCATGAACACTTCCACCGTTAATTTTCGAAAGAAATCTGAACAAAATTTATGAAAAGTCTTGTAATTGTTACCTTTTGATTTAATTCGTTAAAATACTCAACAAAAGTGTTTATTTTCGTTTAAGAAAAAGTTTAAAACCATGATGTTTGCAAAAATAACCAGGAAGTTTTTCAAATGAATTAATGAGTACTTTTGTCGATTGGTGAACAAGGGGTAACGATTAGATTGCCATGCCCCATCAGCAAAGAGATGCAACTGTCAGTTCAAATCCAAGAGTGATAGCAATAATAGAAGTATTAGCAGTAACGGAGAAGATTAGGGAGCGAAGATATGATGGAAATCCGTGAGGTAGGGTGAAGTGTGACATTTTTAGGGTCGAACTTTTCTAACCCTTCCTTCCTTGTCAGAAGGCAGCATCGGTGCAGATGCTGGTTGTCCGAGGGAAACACCTTACTGCTGTCACACCCGTCTGCAGTCAGTAGTAAGACTTTGCCCTCAGATCTTGAGTAGCTGCTTTTAGTCTGATCGTTCTCCAATCGACCTGCCTGGCATAGTAAAACCTTCAGGAACATATGTTCCAGCCGGTATAGCTCGGCTGAGTCATCACGATAGTCAAGCCCGACCACCACGTCAAGGTAGCAGCTACAGTCGTGACTGGTATAAGTGATATTTGACATTTTGTGTAAAACAGATAAGTAGGTAATTAATATTTTAAAGTGTATAAAATATGGCGAACTGACTACCACCGATGTAAATATGTTCCAGGTTCTACGTCTTCAGTTGACTGATCAAACTGAAAAACAAAAACGTTTGCTTTGAAAATACTGACTCTAGTTCTCTACCACAGTTGAGAGCATTCCAACACACTAATACAGACAGATCGCAAGTGAACTACAGAGATCATCAAATATTTAGTTTTATTCCTAAATTCTCGACAACTTGTCATGTGCTGTTGGGAATTCATATTCATGTTTTCATATATTTTTAAGAATAAGTCACTTAATAAGGAGTGTGATTATTAAGTAAAAAGACAATAGAACACATAATTATTATTATCTCAGACCGAACATAGGGTGGAATTAAAGCATGACTACATTGCTGCGCGCTGATTGGCTAATTTCCTATCCAATCAGAGCCTGATCGATTCTTGAAGAACAGGATAGAAAATTCTCGTGCTGTTAGCTGTACGCTGATTGGCTAAATCTAATCAAGTCGATCGCGTGAATTACAATCCAGAAGCCTTCGGCTTCGTATTTCCATTGAATCTTGCTATTCGGAATATAATCGTTTCCTGTTCCACCGTGTTTTTGATTCTTTGGAACTTGTCCAGTGTATTGTGTCGTCAGAGAATACTAAACAATAGGAATTAGCTGGGAATCATTTAGGCATGCGCTACAACACTTGTAAAATAATATTCACACATACTAAACTTTAGTTTCATACATACAATTTGAATCGAATATAGTAAATCTGAAGCATGTAGTATAAATAATAGCGAACTTGTTAATCATTCATTCGGATCTAATGAATTGACCTAATTTCTAACTAACAGATATAACCCATAAGTATGACACTTTTGAAAAAGACTCTGGAAGGAAACTAATTCTCGATCACACTGAAAGATGAACTGTTGAAAGCTTTAGCATCCAGTATCAGCATATATATAAGCTGTAAGACATTGATAGTTTTCTATTTCTATTTCAGAAAAGGTTAATGGATAAGAATCATCAAAGAGAACAAAGTTATGATGAGATCTATTCACTAAATATATGATCAAAATGGTCAAATCCCTAAAACTTCACTCGATAAATATTGAACGAAATATTATTAGGAAAGATTTTAATATTGTTTGTCTTCGAAACATAGAATGCCTACAGAATTGAAATTTATGAGATTACAGTCATAACAATTAGAATAGGAAATCCAATGACCAACTAGTAATGATAAGTTCTTCTGCACACTCAACGTCCTAATCTTGGCTATCACGCTAATTTAAAATGCCTATTAACAAGTATTTCCTTAACAAACTAGATTTAAACGTAATCACATCACTCTAGTACTCGATTATCAGCAGAGATGGATGGTGGCTAGTAGAAGAATTTAATACGCGTATTTCGTTCACTTGGGACTCGTCAGTTGGATGTACCTGTATCTTAGGGTCGATATTTACTGTGGGATTCAATCAGAGGCTGATGCTCAGTTGCAATCTCAAACAACAATGGAAAGATATAAACAACGAATATCAATGAATTAATACGTTATTCCGGTACTAGAAGTAAACTCCAGATTACAATACCTGTTCACATGATGATACATATAGTTATCGCGTTACTCAACAGTATAACTGAAAACCATTACGAATAATTATGATAAGTTAATGAGTTACTATTTTTTTAAAAAAGCATGTTACCTAATATATCAGCTAATTGTGCCCCTTGTTTTTCTGACCAATTATTACGTTCTTCTTTATATTTTAACTCTAATTCATTGAATTTATTAATTGTGGAATCTTTTTCTAATGTGATTGATTCAAGTTTAGCAGTTATCTGGTTATATTGATTATTCCATTGTGTGAATGAAGTGTTATCTGAAATATATAAATATATGTTATTAATACAATAGGTCCGTCAGTCAGTCAGTCAGTTACAACGTAGAACTTCGTACATAAGTACATCAGTTCAAGTTGCCATACCACATTAGCACAGAGACACCATTGTCAAACCAAATCCCATAGTGGTAGAGATAGTAGAAGAATTACTGCTAATGGAGAAGATTAGTATTGGACGATAATATTCAAGAAATTTAATTCAGTGAAATAAGTTTAGAAAGATAAAGGTAGAGGTGTTGATGAATCCAAAAGATTAGGATTTGAGAGAACACAAATAGTGGATGCACCTGCGCCACTGCAAACGATTCCAAGCCATGGCATTCAGGGTCTCCAACCATTGGTGACTTTCGTCTCGCGGACCCCAACCAGGCAGTCTACGTCTACCAACACGACTCAGTCCACTTGTCAGTGACTTCATGGATTTGTGCCATGTTTTGGTTTGGCCGCTCCTCGTTTTTTTCCAACCTACTCCTGCACCACAAAACATAGCTCGTCGAGGCAATCGATGGTTGGGCATTCGTAACACATGTCCCAACCACCTCAACTGATGAAGTTTCAGTACTTCATCAATTGATCTGCCATCCTTACCTAGTACTCGCTTCCTAATGGCAGCATTGTTTACTCGAGTTTCCCACGATACAGGAGCAATGCTTCGGAGACACGTATGATCGAATACTAGTAACCATCCACATAGGAGAACGGAGCGAACTGCTGCACAGTACACTCAACCTTTGGTTAGCGAACGGATATCTCGCCTTCGCCATAAATGACGCAAGTTAGCAAAATCCAATCGAGCTCTCTGTATCCGTGCTGAGATTTCGTCAGCCACCAGGCCATCAGCGCTGATGAAACTCCCAAGATAAGTGAAGCGGTCGATACGCCAAACTACTTCACTCCCTATCATTAGTTCAGGTGCCGATACATGGATACAATAGGTATCCATGTCAAATACATTACCGTTGTGTTGTTTTTTTAAACAAAACTATTTCTTTATGATACCGTAATGAATCTCCATTTATGAAGATAATGCGACTGGTTCAATAGAAACATTCATTATTATAACCAATTGTACTAGTGATTGTTTTACTGAACCTCTTTGTTTTATAACATTCTTGTACGCACAAACTTTCTGTTTGTGTTGCTGCCATTGTTGGCTCCACCGTCTCTATAATTTCTCCCCTCTTTCCTGACACGATTTTGGTATTCTTTCGATACTACGAAATCGTCAGCAAATATATTTTTTCGTTAGGGAATAATCCTTCTTCTCTGTGACGGGCATTTAATTGTTTTGCTTATGGTGGAGATCATAGTCAATCTCAACTCGACCGCTACTAAAATACTAAGATTTCTACTATTTGAATAATAAGTTGTAATTTAAACAATCAACCGTATGATGAAGGATTTTTAATTGTTTACACTTAAACTCATACATAGTGATGTCTGTGTCATGACAGAGAATACTGAAGGATTATTAAATGTTTAGTTTTTTTCATTTATTTATGAAAAAAATTATTCATAGGAGTGTTATTTTGGTTGAAAATGTCGTTGATAAATATTAATTCTAATTTACTAAAATGTATTCGCATTGATACGAACGTCATGTTTCTTTAACACCCAAAGAGAAGACTGGACTCTACTCATTAAGATATCGAATTGATCGTTAATTAAAGTAATTTAACATGAACTACGATTTTTAGATGTTAGATAGTTAGAAATTGACAGTAAGCCTAAGATATACATTTCGTAATTATACCATCACTTACTGATAAGACATATCTGAAACTTGGACGGAACTGACGATTGCTATGAGACTCCAACGTAATACAATCTAACATATTATCGACCAACTCAGCCTGTAGCAATGTAGAATTTAATATGTTCGTAAATCATTTCAAGTTGCCATATAACATTAGACCAGAAATGAAATTGTGAGGCCGAGTCCCAAAATAGTAAAGGTAGTAGTAGTACTGGAAATAATGGAAAAGATTAGGGATCGATGAAAAATTTGAGAAGTGTAACTCAGTGGAATAATTCCTTAAAAAATAGGGGGGGGGGGGAAAGAAAGGTCATTAGGGATACTGATAGTTAGAATTTGGGAAAAGACAAAAAATGAATGTAACTGTGCCATCGCAGACAACATTCAGGCATGTCATTCAGAGCCTCTATTACTAACAGCGCTCACCAAAGATTGTCGATTGAAGTTATGTTCCATTATCTGAAACCGAAACAGACAATCCAAACACACCGAATAATTGTCTTAGATGAGAAAGGGTTTTTGATGTGGATAAATTTCATATAGCGAAAATTTCAGGTTATCCCGTTTAAGTCAGATACAATGTATACGTCCGTACATCAATTCAGGTTACCTTACTCAATTTGCTCAGAAAGATGAGGTTGTCAGGCCAAAGCCCAGAGTGGTAAAGGTAGTATAAGTATTAGTGACAGTAGAAAAGAACAAGGATTGAAGATAAGATTCAAGAAAATCTGAACAGCGAAAAAATTGAAAGTTATAGGAAATTTAGAAATTGGGAATTGGGAAGAAGACAAACAATGGATGCGCCCACACCATTTCAAACCATTTCCATCCATATATTTTGAATTCTTTAACCACTGGTTAGGATTATTGAGCGAAACCAACCTGGCAGTTCGTATCTATTATTATGCCTTATCCCCATTGTC